GACCATAGTCCCCCGATTATTGGGAATGTCGGGGGTGTGCAGGTGAAACGAGGTAGCAACAAGTGCAGCTGGGACACATTTGACACAGTTTGGCCGAGCGTAACAAACCGCGTTTATCAAATGGAACTCGATTCGGTTTCGGTTTCGCTCTGGCTCTTGACGGTTGACGTGTCCAAAAAAAAAAAAAAAAAAAAAAAAAAATGGGAATAACAAATAAAAATGGAGTAGCCACCTGCCAACCACCGCCACCCACCGGTTGGAACACCAACCCCGCCTACCCGCCACCCGCCGCCCACCACCCACTGACCAACCAACCAAGCGACCAATCAGCATTTCCGCTCTAATGAAATCTGTGCAAGATGAAATGCCATCAGGAGCGTTCTATGATACGTACGATAATTATGATTATGCATATGGAGGGGTGCTCATTGATCGACATAAATATATGTAATACATTTGATGTATATAGCTTTTGTGTGATGGACACAGTAAAGTAAGATAGTAAGGTAGTAAGCTAGTCAATCCGTATATGACTCGTTTCCGGTGCGTAATGCCATTGAATATTTAGTCAAAATTTTGAGTATTTAACAGGGCATGCTATAAGATACTTTTCAAATCATTTTCCCTGCTTACTTAACTAATATAATTAAACTACTGGTAGTTCATTTTTAATAAAATATAGAAAGAGGGTATTAAAGTAATAAACGGAGCTAAAAACATTAAAGTTGCCTTTATATGTTTTTTAAATGTATAATCAGTTATTATATAAAAGACAATCTTTTTAATAATAGGTATATTAAAATAATTCTACTATTTTGAGAGCAATCACATATGTAACACTGAATTTTGTTTTTAAAAAAAATTGTTATATATATAATCATATTTTAAATATTATTAGCCGATGAAAATAGCTGACAGGATTTTAGAGCTTCTAAAAATTGTACAGGAAAACACAGTAGTGGATAAATGTTTTCAAATAAGTCATATTTTACTAATTTCTTTTAACTAATGCACGTTTTATAGTATTAATAATTTGGAATACCTACTTTAGGTTGTCATTAATACGAGAAAACGGGACTAGGTTAAAAAACATTTGTAAAATGTAACTTGTATGAATACATAAACGAACTTCTGAGTTTTTCTTCACATTTTCTATAGCCTTAAAACTATGCCAGCTATCAGTCAATAAAACCAGCAACATAAACATTTTGTCTCATATATATTTGTATTTTTAAACTGTCCCCTCAACAGTGAATTTTAGTTAAAATATCTACCCTAATTTCTTTTTTTCTCTTTGTACCTCATTATCAACGCCAGGTGCGTGTTCGCTGCCTCGTGTCGAGGGTTCTCGGTTTTTAATTCCTGGCCGTAACTGCTACTCACCAAATCATTGCGCTTTCAAATTTGGCAATTAGACTAATTCGCCTGTGCTGGCTGTTGCATATGAGAATGTATAAAAACTAAGTTTCAACTCACCCAAAATAAATACCAAAAAAGTACACACCCAGAACACACGAACAAAAAGTTTCAGTTGTCGAGAAATTTCCGGCAATAAAAATAATGGTAAACGCAAAGAACAAATAAAAAAAAAATTACAAACGCCTTAGGATTGGCCTTCTTTTTAGGAAATTTCACACGATTTTCGAATGCAAATCGCGTTCGTACTTTGTTTTTCTTTGGTAGTTTAACTATTTTCAGGCCAAAACTGAGCACACCGAATGAAAAGGGGAAAAAAAAAACCGAGTATGAAATTAACACTTTATGCGGGTCTTTGAGGGCCCTACGTGGCTCGATCACACGGAACCGAATGAATGGCAGCCAGCAGGTGAACCAGGCTTTTATAGGCCCCCAGATCTGGCCACCAAACCAACCCCTTTCGATCCTGGCCAGCTTGGCCCCGACCCGGATAAGATAACCCATAACATGGTGCGATGCAGATGTCCCAAATGCCCGCCTAATGGGGATGATAATGGTTGGCAGGAGCCGATATCCAGATATCCATGGACTGAGGATGGGGGTGAGGATGTGGGGGTGCACTTATCGCCGGCCGCCTGGCGCAATTATGCAAAACAATATGGTGACCCAACTATCGATCCAGTAGATAACCATAGATAGTCACCGTGAGATAACCCAGGAGGGAAAATCGGGGAAAACATGCTCTATAATAACATTAATGGAACGGAACTGAAAAGCTTAGGAATCGGTGAAATTAACATAAAACATATCTGATGATTTAAACATTAAACTTTTAGTACCCATACGACTGATCAAAAAATATTTAAAAACAAGAAAGGAAGCAAACCTCAGCACGCCGAAGTTCACATACCCTTGCAGCTCTTGCAAAGAAAATTAAATATTCTTGAAAACATTTAAATTTTGATTTGAATAACTTCTCATAAAAAATGCAAAACTTGGGCATTTTTAAATAAACGGCTTTAAGAAATCGTTTTTTTTATCAAAATAAAATGTTTTTTTTCTGGATCGGGATAGATTTTATAGGTCGCCAGCTGTACAAAGCAGTCATTCCAATGGCTGTGCGTTATATTTTGGCCAAGTTACAACAAAAAGATTCTTTGGAAATGTTTTATTTTCTTATTTCCCAAAAACCCAAAAAGACCGTAAAAATATCAGTTTTTGTGTCAAAAGCCAGGGAAATAATGGACAAAATTTAGAGTGTCATGCATCGTTGGATTCGTCATAAAATTTCCAATCAAATGGCATTCACAGCTAAAATTGTTTCAGATTTTCAAATTCTTGCAAGGGAATAAAAACAGAGATATAAGGAAGGACTAGATAAAGGAAAAAGGAAAATATTCAAAGTCTAAAAACTACATGTCCCCCAAAAAGAACGAAACAGTTTACTTGAAGGGAAAGAACCAAATAGTTTACTTAAAGGGATGGATATTGATTTCCGGAATCGCTGACAGCTTAGATTTCGCCTGTCGCGATAAGCAAAGTGTTTATTTGTTATCTGCAAATATTAAATGATGCAATTTTGCGGAATAATTTATTTCCTCTGATTTTGATACGAAATCATTTTAACATTTTCTATAAGTTTATGAAGGTTTAAAGATCAATATCCAGTTTAAACTGACACACAGCACAGAGCCCTAAATCGACTTTCAATACAACAATAATCACGTTTAAACAGTAAGTAGATGATGTAAGCTATTTAGCCATTTAATAATAACATTATTTCATGCAATACGATTTTATTTAGTAGCAAAGAGTTTAAAAAATGGTTCGGGGTAACCAATTACTTTAGTAAGATAAGCTTATTCCAATTTAAATTTAAATTTTGTACGCAAGCCTTCCATAAATACTATATTCGCACAGTGTAAAAGCTGTGCACATAGAACTTTAAAAAACATTTGACGATCGGGTGACTATATCTTTCTAGCTTTTGTAGGAAGCTATTCTTGTTGATTTTTATTATGTTTTTAAAGGATTTGAGTTTACATATTTCGCTACTTTTGCCCATTATGATGGCTTCGTATCATTTCTAGACCATAAATATAAAGACAACATCCAATAATATCTGCCACACTATAAGGTTCCTTTCCAACATTAAATAATATTTATTGGATAAGGAAGAGAAGGTTATGTCTTAGTTAGTCGACGTCTAAGCCATATTCTTTTGTGGATATTTGTGGATATCTGAGGGATGGAGGGATTGGTTTTTCTGTCGCAGGTACAGTTGTGTGTAAGGGAGCCCGTAGCCAACCACCCCACCGCGCCATCGGGAATCACAGGCACTTAGGGTTGCGTTTTAGCGACATGCCTAATCAGAAATAATTCGGTAAATTAAACAAGCAACCGTCGAATAGGGGGCAGCGATGGGATGGGATTGGTCGCACGCCCAGATAAGGCCAATAGGCATATGGGACGATCGAAAAGGAGATCCGACCAGGGATTTATGACAGCCAGGCAAATACAACCGAATGTGAAATCAAATAGAAATTTCATAGTTTCGTTTTCCAACGAGAAGCGGCTGTGCTGCACAGAAAGAAAAGCTGCCAGCCATCAAAAATAAACAGATCCTTACATTTTGTATATCTTTATGTTAAATCGAACTGAATTCATAATTGAAGGTGGAAAAAAGGCATATAAGCTTGGCCACAGAACTGCTGAAGAATGATTTATTATTAAAGCTAATAACATTTAAGCTTTAATATCAAATCGGTACTCATATGTTCTAAATGGTGCCTTTTAACATTTTAAATGAATATGCTGGTATCTGATTGAAAATGAAACTCAAAATATAAATTAATATCCCATATATAACACATCAATGAACACATTTTGAACTTGTTAATTAGTTCTCTATATAAAACAATAAATATAATTAGGTTTTTAAGAGTATGATATATTACAGTTTTACTTAAAACTTTGCCTTTTTGTTGTGCAACTTTATGTATTTCAAAAGTATATTTCTGAATTTTTATAAGTTTACTCATACATAGATTAAATATGATTAAATTTAGCCTGGGGCTAAACAGCTCCCAGAAATTTAAGATTATCCAATTGAATATGCTCAGCATATATGATACAAAAATGTAAACATTTTGAACTTGTTAATTACATCAATCCATAATATAATAAAAATAACAATGATGTATTCCCTACCCATCAACTAAACACCTCCCAGAGATTTAGAATCGTTCGATTGAGTATTATCAGATCATGTCATATCGTATCAATTTTTCTTTCTGTGTGGCACACATATTGTTCGGCATCAGGTAAAAAACAGAACTGCAGATAAAACTCGGGTAGTGCCGGCTCCTAGCTTATCACAGTTTAAATATTAATTCAGGGATATGTGGCCGGGCCAAAAGAGAGAGGGATAGAGAGGGAGAGAGAGAGAGCTGGGCTTATCGCTCTTATGGGCGATAAAGCCGGGACAAACACACGGACTTCAGTTCCTGGAAGGCGGAGTGAGGGCACTGGCACCACCACCGGCACCGGAAATGGCCCAACCACCAGCTGCAGGTCGCACTTACCAATTGGGTTTCCTTCGGCGCAGAGGTGCCAGCCGCTGGCCTGGATTCCTGCTTCCACTTGGCCACTTCCCGGCGCAGGGCGGCAATCTGAAAGATGGGAAACGGGGAGAGCGTAAGGAGGGAAGCCTCAAAAGTGCCCGAAGCGGAGTTACCTCCCGATCCTTCTGCTCGCACCGCCTGTCCAGCTGCTCCTTTTGCTCCTGCGTCTCGGCCAGCAGCTGCAGCGCCGTTTTGGCCTGCTGCTCAGTGTCCTGGCCATGTCCCTCGTACTCCAGATCGCCGGGTCCGGCCGTTTCGGCCAGCACTTCCTGGGCCAGATTGGTTAGCTGGCCCTTCAGTGTGCTGAGACTGCTGTTCAGCCACGACATCTTCGCTGCTTCGCTCTTCTTGGGCGACGGGGGCGGTCGGGGGCGTGGCTCACCGGTTCGATCACTATTCGTTTTGTTTTCGGGCTGCTAAGGGCGGCGATTTGGGGTAAATTTTGCCTAGGTTTTTGGATATTTTTTTGCGTGGCACAAACTGCAGCTGATTTTGTTATTGTTATTGTTATTGGCCACAGTTATCGATAGGCGATAGGCCAACTGGCCGCAAGGCAAGATGAAAAAAAGCTGGCTGCTGCGATACGCAGTGCAAAAAATTCAAATTTTTAATTGACATGTAATACACTTTCAACACTCCAATTTGGTTATTACTTAGAAAATTTCTGGGGGAAAAAAACTATAGTATCCTAAAGCTGGCCCAACCAATTTCCACATGCTTCTCTATAAAAGGCAAATAAACATCTTTAAATATATATATATAAAGTTTCATTTTTATTACCACAGTTTTGTTTGCACTAAAAGTACAGGTAATAATTTAATTTGTTTATAAAAAAACCTTTATCACAGAGCTATTAGATTCATTTGAATTTCGAAAAAAAAAAAATTATTTTTTTAAAACTAACTTATTTTTGCACATTTTTTGGGTCTGTTTCCACACACTAATGTTACCGTTGACTATTTTGTCCTAGCTGTCAAGTTGACTTTGTGCCCTTTTCATATTAAATTTTTCTTTTCTGTCCAGCAGCCGAGACAACCAGACGTCCCCCATTCCAATCACCATGGATTATCTAGCTAAGTTCAAGAGGACAGCCGATTCTTCCGAGATGAAGGCCCGCTGCAATGAAATGGAGGAAAAGGCCGTGCAAAGAGTCAAGGAACGCGATGAAAAGACCAAACTGGAGGTCATGACTCAATTCCGCAAGAAGTCCGGCAGGAACCTGGATGTCCCGGTGACCATGGCCGACTGGAAGGACACTGGCAACGTGGGGCAGGAGATCATTGACCGGATGCGCTGCATGAGGCTCCAACCACGCGTCGATGAGTTGCCACCAGTCCTGCCGCCTGCCGGCTCCCAGGAAAATGAGATTATGATGCGCAGCGGATTTATGTTAGTTCCAGATCCCAACTACTTCCAGCCACGCAGGAATCGTTCGACCGTTGCCGTTTCTGTTTCCGTTTCCGATCACATTTGCCGTCCAACCAAACGAGATGGCGACCACCTGTGGAAGCGGGTGAAAAAGGATAAACGTAGCAAGGTGCCAATAGTGGAGGACGACGACTAAGCCGGATGTGGCATCACCTAATCTGGATGCATTCTGTCCTTAAATACAAGACTAAATACTTACATAAATACATATCATACATCTATATCTATTTCATATCTTTTAATTCAAAATGGGGGGTGTGTTACGCCATTTCACAAATTCGGTTGCAACGTTTATTTGAAATCATAAAACATTTGCTCAACACAAACAAAAAGTGGTTGAGTGGGAACTTTTTGACATGACTAATGAGTTGAGTGAGTGGCATGGTATTTACAGCCTGGTTGGGTCCTCCAGTCCTTCGCCGATCCCCTCTAGAAAGTGCGCGGCTGGGAGCCGAAGCCAAGGCCCACTCCCCGCATCGTGTGTGTGGCGGCTCGCGCCATCTCGTACTGCTGCTCCATGTTGGAGAACATGCGCTGGCGCTGCTGCACATCCGTCGGCACTTTCACTCCGCCGGGGGCAGCCGCTGCTGCTGCTGCTGCTGCTGCTCCTCCTCCGCTTCCACCTCCACCAGCAGCCTCGCCAACTGCACTCCCGTTGCTGGCCTCCGGATGGTCACCGCCGCCGCCGCCAGCGCCGCCGCCACCACCACTGGACTCTCCATCGCCGGACGAGACTGCATTCTTGATGCCCATCAGACGCATAAACTTGGAGGCCACCTTGCCGTCGGAGTCCTGCGAGAAGTGGGCGTTGCCCCACTTGTTCGCCGAGTCCTCGCTCTTTTTGGAGCCCCACAGCAGCTTGCGTTTCTGCTGCTGCTCCGCATAGCGGTTGGCATTGATGATGCCCGGATTGTAGTAGCTGGGCAGCTGGATGGGTTCTACTAGTGCGGGTGCTGCCGCCACCGCCGGCGTGCTCAGCTCCAGGGACATCAGCGAGGGTATCTTGGGTGCATAGTTGGGCGTCGGCAGCAGGCCACCGCCACCGACACCGCCTGCTCCTCCGGATGAGGCTGCTGCCATGGCTGCTGCGGCGGCAGCTGCATTGGCGGCTGCCAAAGCGGTTGCTGCAGCCACCGCTGCTGCTGCTGCTGTTGTTGTTGTTGTTGTCGTTGTTGCCGACGATCCTCCCACTACTCCGCCACCGGATTTGCCGAGCAGCTGGTGAACACCGGTCACTGCTCCACCGCGAAGTGGCTGGGCGGGCTGCTGCTCTTCTTTCGGAGATCTGGAGCGACTGCTGGAGTCGCGTTCGCGATACTTGCGCGACTGGTGGCGACGACGAGCGGGCGGTGTCCCTGTGGGCGTGCGGGAACGGGACCGGGAGTCCCCGCGACGACGACGACTGCGGTCATCATAGGAGCGACGCCCGGCTGCTGCCGCATTGACCGCTGCTCCCGCTGCGGCGCCTGACGAGGAGGACAAGGAGTTGTTGTGATGATGGTGGCGTTCCTTGCCGCCGTGATGGCGAGCGCCCTTTTCCGAACGCCTGCGTTCGCGGTCCTTGTCGCGATCCCGTTCCCGCTCTCGTTCCCGTTCCCTTTCCCGTTCCCTTTCCCGCTCCCGGTCCCTCTCGCGCTCCCTTTCGCGCTCCCTGTGGCTGTTGCCGTCTTTGGTACGATGGTGGCGATGATCGCCCTGCAAAGAGAACAAGGTTATATAGAGCTTTTAGTGGCATGAGGAAACAAGTCAGGAGATTCTGGAAAAACTACATCATCTTATCCATGAGACCCAAAACAAATACCCTTCAATGGCATACCTATTCTATATTCTATACATTGCTATAACAAACTGCTTAAACGGTTTGCATTTAAAGATTTCAATGTAGCCAAAGGAAACAAAATTATTGCTTTGACAAGAATTGAAATAATCATTTTAAAGAATAGAAATGTGCAACGATTTCCATACACACCCATTTCAATCTTCCAAATGTTTATTCACGAAACAAAGATATAACAAATTTAATATAGACTTTCGAATTCGATAAAACTAAGCAAGTTTTTCTGAAAATGCATAAAACGCGCATATCTCGTATTACAAATTTTCCAAACGGTTATTACAAAATGCAAATATTACTCATCCGCCATGTTGGTTATATCGGTTCATAAAAAGTAGGATACTTTAATGCCATAATATATATAATTTAAGTTAAAATGGATTTTTCTGCACTTAGGATACTTAAACTACGGGATCATGGAGTTGTGGACCCACTCACCTTGCTGTGATCCTTGTCGCGTCCTTTGTCGCGGTTTCGTTCTGGGTCGCGTTTCTCCCGCTCCCGCTCGCGATCCTTGTCCCTCTCCCGCTCGCGCTCCCTTTCCTTGTCCTTATCCCGGTCCCGCTCGCGCTCGCGATCCCGTTCTCGTTCGCGTTCCCGTTCCCGTTCCCGCTCCCTGTCCTTGTCCCGCTCCTGGCGGTGGCGACTACTGGGCTGCGGGTCCTGCAACGGGAAGAAGCAACGCAACGAGGAGAATTATATTAGAGCGTATCAACGAAACGATACTGGTGGCTAAGGATCTAGGTCTAGATGCTAGATTCTAGGAAATGAAAGAGGATGTGGGCGGGCTGTGGCCACCAGTTGGGGCCGGAGGTCCTTTCCAGGGTATCCTAGATTGCTTAGAGAGTTGTTAAGTTCTATTTGATCGCTTTTTGGTATACTCACTTTCGTGCGGCTCGAGCTTTCTTTCTTTCTCTCTCTCTCTCTCTCTTTCTCTCTCGCTTTCACGCCACCAGTGAGTGAGTGTGTGCGTGTGTGCGGGCCTGTGTGTGGTGAGTGTGTCCTGGAAATTGTTCTGTTTCTTTCGGTGTGTCACACACACACCCACCACCACAGCCACCGAGTCGCACACAAGCCTAGTCTCTGTCTCTACAAAACTGATCGATTGTCGCATTATCGAAGTGGCTATTGGTAATCGAGCGATTACTACGATCGGGGTATCGTCAATGGTCGTAGGTCAGGTTTTTATTTTTCTTTTTTTTTTTTTTGATAATGGTTTTTCATTTTGGTTTGGTTTGGTTTCGTTTACGTAACAACAACAATGATAATAAAATGGTAGAGTTTAGTCATTTAAATATTAATTGGCATATATAGTTTAAAACTTAACTAAGCGGGCCAAACAACAACAAAGTGTGTAATCGCAAGCGGACCGACAGAAACAGAAATTTTTTTTTTTTTTTTTTGGTTCATAACAAGCTGGCAGTGGCTAAATTTACACATTTTTTTTGGGGGGTTGGAGCGCATGTAGCTGATCGTGCAGATCGATACACATAGGTATAAAAACTTTCATGAGGATGCAGTTGTTGACAAAATAATAGCACTGAAGCCTATAATAAAAATGTTCTATTTTTTTTATTTGCATCTAATTAATTTTTCTAAATAAATGTGTAAATAAAAGTATTTAGTATGATTTTATTAAAATCAATTAAATCAAATCGGTAATTTAATTTACATAATTTTAAACATTTCTAATAAATTCTAAATGTAAATGTTAACTATCTGACTAAAATAAAAAACAATGAATGAAGCTATAGATTATATGTGAATTATAAGATTTGATTAAAGCGATAATGTTATACATTTTCTAATTTTAGGCATTTCTTTGCTTTGTTATTTTGTAAACCTATAAAACAATGCATGTCCTCAATTCAATAGGAGCTTTAGAACAATTCCTTGACCAGAGAAATTGAGCACAAGGCTGCGTTATTGATTTAATGCGGAGTGGTGTGCTATTATGCTGCCTGCCACTGTCAGTGGATGAAAATGGCACATGGAAGGTTCACATCCGCATCCGCATCCGCTCCAACCCAGACACATACACACGTATTGTACATAGTATAGAGTAGAAATTTATGTGGAGAATTTATCGATTGGTGCAACGGCAATTCTTTACCTCATCAATCCTGTGATTCTGCTGCTGCGACGTCGGCAGAGGAGGAGTGTGATGGCGTCGCCTTTTCTCCTTATCCTTCTCCTTCTGCTTTTCCCGCGGACTGGTGTTGTTGCCGCTGCCGCTGCGACTGTCTCTGCCGGCGGCGATGTCAACGTCGCCGTCGCTACTTCCATTGTTGTTATTGTTGTTGTATCTCTGCCTTAGGAAGCTAGTTGTTGTTGTTGTTGCTGCTGATTTTGCATGCGGATGCGACTGCAAATGTTGTTGTTGTTGTGGTGCCTAGGGGAATTTTGCAACTATTCAGAAACAGCAAATTCGCATTATTTTACTAAAGCACTAGGATACTTAAACTAAATTAGAATGAAGATTAGGGGAACGGGTTGTATTTTTTGTGGGGTGGTGGGATCGGATCGGGATAAGTTATCTCTATTTCAACGCCTTGCACACACACACACACACACACACAACAAGGGCAAAATGAAGAGGAAGCAAAAAAAAATGATCGAATGTGTACACAAAATGCGCTCTGACGTTGAGTTCCATTTTGTTTCATTTTTCAGCTGCTCCCGGCCTTGCGGCGTGGCTATATTTACCCGGATTTGGTATCCAGCATCGTCCTGGTCGTCCTCGCTGCTGTAATTCACCAGGGCCTCCATTGTTTTACGCCGAAAAATGTTTTTTAGCCCCAGTGCGTCAAAATAAAAGTAATCAATTGATAGAGGTGGAAAAGCATCGATATCGACTTCAACATCGATTGGTCGGGTGGCTGAGGACTTTGCTGGTTGAGGACTTCGCTGGTTGAGAACTTGGATTTCCGAAAAGAAATTTAAGAAATCAACGTTATCCTAACAATGTTTTTTAAATTCTATAACTGACGAGCATTCAAAGAAAACCTTGACCCTGCATGAGATTAGAAATTATCAATTAAACATAATTTTCACCTCAAATATACTTTTAGGTAGTTATTTGACCAAAACCCTTAACATAGTATAGTTAGTGTTAGTATCTACAAAAATGTATAGTTAGTTTTCTTATAAAGTACTTATAACAGCCTGATTAATAAACTTTTAGATTGAAAAAGAAACGGATGTGGATACTCTTACGCATTACAATTATAAGGAAATTATATAAAAATATTTATATTGATAAAACGCTTGCAGTGAAGTAGACAACCGTTTTTTTTATTTTCTGTTTAGAAAAATATGCTGGTACCTTTTACTGTGTTGCGTCTTCAGCTACAAAAAATTTTAAGGACGAGAAGCTGACATTTAAGAGAAATAACCGTTGTAAAGTCTATGTTAAATATCGATGACATCATCGATGTTCTGCCATCTCTAACGTGTGTTTAAACAAAATGGCCGTATTTTGAACTTTGAAAATGGTCGTCAAAAATTTCCCTCCATTCCGTTTGTTAACATTCAAACAATCTCTACTCAAGGTCAACAATCATATTAAAATAATTATTTTATTAATTGTTTAATAAAGATATTTATTCGTTTCCATCTAGCTAAAATAATTACTTATTTATTGTTAAATAAAAATGTATTAAAATTGTTTCGTATTATTGTCATATTAAAAGTGTATGTTTTATAAACATACATATTTCTTTTTATCTCAAATTAATCAATACTAGGTAGATGCCAAAAACATTTTTTAGTATTAATTAATTAAAACATAGCCATAAAAAATAAACAATTTGTAAAACTAAATAAATATGTATAACTACATGTATAAAACCTTCTACAAATATGGCATATTGTTAGTGTCAAAAATTAGTATTTTTATTTGATGTGTTTCGGAATACATTTGATGATTCTTCGAAATGAAATTAAAAGGGAATGTAGACTCTGAGTTAGTGACATTCATGCTACTGGGAAGGTTAAGTTGTTTGCTTCATGCCTATTAAAAATAAAAAAAAAAGTGCATGATGATTTATAGTGCATCGTCGAATGTGAGTGTTTTTGGGAAAATTAATGATTATGTTGAATATAGTGTCCAGTTATCAGGGTTTAATTCGTGCGCTTTTTCGGAGGCACGGGAAGCGGTGGGAAGTTTGTAGAGTTAAAATTGATGACATCGAGGTCCGGGAGGTCATCACTGGAGCCACTGGCACCACTGTCACCACTAGCCATCAGCGGTGCTCCTGTAGCCTTTTGGTTCCCAAATTTCTGCGGAGAAAAGGTGATGAAATCATTTTAGAGAACGATTTAAATACGGGTAAAATGTTTTCACCTAATCTACATGTTTGAAAATGAAATCAAATCTAAAGATTGTTTAAATATCGCATATATTTATGGATATAATTTAAAATTAAATGCATGCAACTTCTAAGAACGTGTGATTTGTAAATAACGTGTGAAACTATAAATAATTATGTATATATACAATGTTGATTTATCAGATCTAGTTTTTACAACCAATACGATCTTTCACTGTCTTCATTCGCATTGGCTTTTGCATCCCAGCGACTTTTTTTTTTAAAAAATGTAGAAATCGATAGGAGAATTCCAGATTTGATTTTGTAATCAAAGTCCTTTTTACATTTTAATTTACGAAAACTGTCACCCAAAATACTGGCCTTACTTGAACCTGTACCTGTAGCACCAGCACTTGCCTTGCTTGTGCCGCATGCTCCTCCTGAGTAATATACTCCTTGGGGTCCTGCATCTGGCATTCGTCCTGGCTGAGGAGTAAGACAAAATTGAGATTAGGACATCATGTCAATGTTATTTATACCCTTGCATGGGGTATTTTGATTTCCGGTTTACTCGGATACGAAATACACTACAAATTATAGTTTGGGTTTAATAAAAATCGGACAGCAATATCGTATAGCTAACATACGAACGATCGAAAAATCGACAAAGCTTCAATGCTTTTTAACGATTACTCTTAGAAATAAAAAATTGTCGTTTTTTATAAATTATTTCATTTTTGAAATAGCTGCCAGGATATATAAACTAAACTTGCATTGATTTTTTTTTTTTTGACTTTACTCAAATATATATATATTTATTTATCAGGGATCGTGATCAATGTAATTTTTATATTAAAATTGAACTTCAATTTGTACTGTTGTATAATGAAAATCATTGTATTTGATTCAATTAATAAAACTAAAAACTTTTTGAGACAAACTATAAACAATATATAAAACTCAAAAATATTGATTTTAAAAGATTTTTTTTTTTTTGCTCAAAAAAAAAAACAAAATAAATAAATATGTACATATGTATGTCTGGGTTATATTTAATTAAAAAAAAATTGTAATAACCAAGCGACAAATTTATTATTTGAACAAACGTATAGATCTTAATGTAACATTTTTTTTTAAGTGCCATTACAAGTGAGGTAGTTTTTAAAAAAATATGATAATTATTTACCGTTCCTGATAATTATGTATTTATATTTGATGGTTAAGCCACTACGTTTTTAGCTCATTTTTAATTCCGGGTAGGGTATGTGGGATGCATGACATCTGAGTCAAGGCTTTGAATACTTAAACATCACCTGACTCACCTGGCGCTTTGGATAGAACCCAGGTGGTGGCACCCCCATCGGAGGGACCATCGGGGGATGGAATGGCGGCTGAACCTGATGGTAGGGCACATAAGGCGGTGGGGCACCATGGTGGATCATGTCCACGGGCATCGGCACCTCGAAGAAATGTACGGCCTGCATGGCGTACATTTGCGCTGCCTGCAGCTCCTCCGGCAGAAGGTTCACCGGGAAGGGCTCCATCTGGGCGACGCAGTTCACGTAGTAGGGATTGTCCCACCAGTTGTTAATGATATTATAACCCTTTTGATGGCGCTGATTGCCATGGAATCCCGAACCCGATCCCGATCCAACCCTGTTAGAAATGGGGATCCTCTGCTGCGTGTACGGTGGCCAGGTGACCATTGGCTGGGGATACAAGTTAACGGCACCATAATTGTCGTGGACGCCAAGATTGAAGAGATTGGCTGGCACCTTGTACTGCTGTTTGTATTGATATTTCTTGTGTTGCTGTTGGTATCTCTTCTGTTGTTGCTGCTGATGCTGCTGATGTTGCTGATGTTGCTGATGTTGCTGATGTTGCTGATGTTGCTGATGTTGCTGATGTTGCTGGCGGTGTTGCTGTTTGCGTTGCAGCTGCTGCTGCTTTGGCATGTACATGCCACAGTTCGGTGGTCTTTGGAGATGCTGTCGCTGCAAGGACCAGGTCATTGGTTTCTCGGGCATCACTTGCCAAATATACTGGGTACTCTCCACCCACTTGACCAGCTCCATGACCTGCTCATCGATTGACTTCTGGGCCCGCTTCTGCTTCCGTGCAAGCAGCATCTCATAGCCAATGGGTTTCAGTTTGAGGTACTCGAAGAGCTCCTTATCGGGTTTATCCAAGCCTGATACGCCCAGGCTAAGCGGGTTCCTCCAGAATTGTGGCGGCGCAACGCCATCGCCCTTATCCGGGGTCATTAGTGGCCCGAAATCGGGTTCGTTGCATAGAACCGATATGCGCGGTATGGCTGCCTGACTAGAGATCCATGAGATATCATCGGGATCCTCGGCGAAATCATTCACAAACGAGACCCACTGACCGGACTTGTACCAATCCGCGAAGCTGGCCGTTGCCAAATTGGGCGATTGCTTTGACGACGAAGATGGCAATGCTTTGGGTATTGGTACATCTGATGGTAAAGCTGATTTCATGGGTTGTGGTAGAGTCGGTGATGGTTTCCGTAATGTGGATGTTATTGGCGGTACGGGCAAAGCCATTAATGGCTTTCTCGGCAATTTCGAAGACTTGCCCGCGCTTGTCCGCATAAGCAGCTCCGGATCAATGAAGTTGGCCAGGGTTAGGGACTGGCCGGAGTGGATATAGTGTCCCTTGGGGCGTTGCGCGCCCTCCAACTCTAGATCGCCCCCGATGGTGCTGATGCTGGTGCTTGTGGCACTGCTCTCCTGGCTACTGGTCACGCTGCCCTCGAACTGGGAACCATCCGGTGACGGTAGCAATGGGCCCTGGGGACGCTGGCGTTGCTCTTCGGTGGCGAAAATGGTATTACAAAATATATAGGTCAAAAATATAAACGTTTGCAAACAGGATGTTACAGAAAAATTAGTTTTAAAGGAACCATAAACCCCTGTTTTATAATATATTATTTTATAGTGTCTCCGAGTTTTGAACTCAAAAGTTATTGGAAACCAAGAAATTAAGTAATAATAAGTAGATATGTTCAGGACAAAATTAGCCATAACCAAAGATTTAGACTTAAAAATTAGAGTTAGCTAGAGAGATCGAACCAAAAACCTTATGAATCGGAAAAGAATTACCTTCCATACTCTTTTAAGGAAAAATCTGAATAATTTCCTCAAGTCCTTATGTCAATGTCAAATGCTTTTGCTTCTCACATTCGTTTCACAAACATTCTTTACCAACACTAGCAGGAAAAAAAAGAGCGAGATAGATGGATGAAAAAAAAAAAAAAATGCACGTGCCAGCCGAAAAAAAATTCCAGGATGAAGTCCAACTTTATGAGTTTCAGAGCTTTCCGAGTTTCCCAGCCGGAAGATTTTTGCAAATATGCCAATGGATAAGAATCCAGTGATATGTTTGCAATTCTTTTCAATGGAATTTGTGATTTTTTGACTAGCATTCGCATTCGCATTTCACATTCGCATTCGCAATCACATTTCCACGGTCAGCAGAATGTACTCCCCCCCCCCAAGTGCGTTTCGCGATTTGTTTATATTTACGGGGATTACGGTGGGCTTTGTTTATGACGCCGGACACATGATCTTTATGGAGGGGAATGAAGAATGAAGAATGGAGGAGACTTACCGGCCGATGCATACGAATACGAACTGGACTGGTATTTGCATTTATTCGTTCTATCCAACTGATCAATTGTAACGAAATGAAATGAAATGAAATTAGTAATTAATAATTAATAGTTACTAGTTAGTAGTTAGTAGTTGGTAACTCGTGGCAGTGCCTCTCTTCTGCACTTACAAATTTTGCCGGGTTCTTGTGGCTTCGCTTTATTTTGGCTTTCTTTGGTAGCCACTTGATTTTTTTCTTCTGGCCATTTGCGTCGCTGCCTTGATGAATTTCAGCATTCGGCAAGCCCTGTCGTTTTCTTTGGCGCTTGCTAATATACTTCATTGCTGATAAATCACTTTCTTAACTTCACTTCACTTAACTTCAATATAATTTAATTAAATCCAGTTCAGTTCGCGGCAACGGGCCGACTTTTCCGGATGCGGAAACAAAAAGGAGAACGACAAGTGATGAGAGCTTGATGAGCGCGTTACCCACTTGCAGCATCGATACGTAGGATAACCCGATATCGATGTGACTTCATTCTTCTCCCCTCCCTAAAACCCTTTTAGATTTAAAAAATGAGTACAAACATTGGTGAATTTTGGGTTTTAAGACGTTTTTCCCCATCCTAAAAACCAGCGAGGGCTGTGTGAACTGAATAAAGGCTGTGTAAGCCAAATTCCCGAAAATGTTGCGCATGTGCAGAGTAAATGCAATTCTAAGAATTCAAAAAAAAGCGCTGCATCTAGAGATGGACTTTATGCGATATTTGCACGTGGGCATTGATGGCTTTAAAATAAGAAAAGCACATTTGATATAATTTATGAGGGGTGTTATAAATAAGTATTAAATTAAAAAATCCCTCGAATATACCAATATGCGGCTTTGGCTCGTAGAGTCCAGTTTACTACCGGAAAAATAAAGTTTTGGTTATTTTCTAAGTAAGTAAATTGCTGAATCGCTGAATTTCTGTTCCAATCGTTAGGGAAACACACAATCTGTTTTCAAAAAGTGGTCATTTAGACTATATTTTATTATTAAAAAACCAGTGTAATTTTATAATTTGGGTATTACTCAAACGACTGAATCGTTAACTTTTGGACAACCTTAGCCTTTTTCATTACAAAGCCATGGCAACTCTGTAATATATCAGCATCGCATCACGCGCTAATAGCTATAAAATCAAATTAGCTTAGTTCTATAACGTAATTTACGAGGAAAAAACATATTAATAAATGCGATGAAATAATTTGATAATTCAATATCGACAATTTTGGGTAGTAAACTCAATTGCTGAACATTTCTGTATCATATTAAATTGTTCAGCAATTAAGTGGTTGGAATACCGTAAGTCATTTAGGGTATACCGTATTCATCAACCTATTGAAACGACACGATAGACCGAAATATCGATATCTGTATTTTGCACTCTAAAAAGGTTGGTCACACTAGCACCGAAAAGCGCGAACTCTAAAGAAATTTTGTTGTTAATTTAACTATTTTGATCAGCTCTCGTCCTTGGGAGCCAATACTTCTGGACGTGCTTGACCCAGTAGCAATCATGTCGCAGGGGGATGACTATCAGCTCGCCCTGATGCTGCAGGAGCAGCTGAACTCTGAGCCAGGGCCAAATAGCTCAGCCCTCAGTGGCGAGAACAAAGTACGTAGTTAGAATGTTTCTCCAAAAAAAAAACTGGGTTATCCTAATCGCAGGTTGTGCAGGACTCGGACTATCAGATGGCCCTCAAGCTGCAGGCTCTACTCGATTCGGAGAACGAGCGCGAAGAGGAAGGTCTGGCCAGCGACTTCGACATTAGTCTCCAGTTCGTCTACCCCTCAAAGCAGGCTAAAACTGTAAGTGTTCAGAAATTCCCTTTTGCCATTCAACTTAGACCCCTGTCACAATTTCCAATATCAAACAGAACACAATGAGCAACGGAAATACAGCAAATACTGGAAAGGGAAAGCCGCAACCGCCAGTGCGCGCCATTCAGGCCAGCCATGATGAATATCTCAACCAGACGGTGAACCTGGTGCATCCGCAGTGGGAGCTGGTCGATCCCACTCCTGACATCTTCTCCATGTTCGTGCGCTTCGACGAGAAGTTCTTCCAGAAGCGTCTGGGCGCCGTGGCCCTCGAGTGGAGCAAGCGAATGTACTCGTGCGCAGGCATCTGCTATCAGCGGGGCAATCGATTCGCCAAGGAGGTGACCATCCGGCTGAGCGAGCCGCTGCTCAAGCTGCGTCCGCGCAAGGATCTCGTCGAGACGCTCTTGGTAAGCACTTATAGATTGCTAGGCTATGGTATATCATCGGGTATATTAACCATTTATTCCCATATATGTTTAGTAAACGACATAAAATTCGATTTGTTGTCCTTTATTATTTAATTTAGAACCATTTGCCTTTAATTCCAGCACGAGATGATCCACGCTTACTGCTTTATCCTCAACATTCGCGAGGGCAACGGAGGACATGGGCCCAATTTCAAGCGCATGATGGAGACTATAAACAAGGTGGCGGGCACGAACATCTCCGTTTATCACACATTCCACGACGAGGTGGCCGCCTATCGCACCCACATCTGGCGATGCACTGGCATTTGCCAGGAGCGCACGCCCTTCCAGGGTTATGTGAAGCGCACCGCCAATCGGCCACCCGGACCCAGTGACCAGTGGTGGGAGAAGCACACGCGCGAGTGTGGCGGCACCTTCATGAAGGTGGGTGAGCCATCCAAGCCGGCCAAGCCCCCCAAATTGGAGGCCAAGCCGAGGGCGAAGAAGGCTATTCCACCGCCGCCAGTGGCTGCACCCAAAGATGACATACGCAACTGGCTGGGCAAGCCGGCGGCCAAGAAGCCAGCCACTGAGGCTGCTTTGCTGGGCAATCTGGTGGCCGCCGTGCCACCGACTTCATATCCGGGACTCTCCACCGATCCCTTTGTCATCCCCAAGCCGCCAGCTGCAGCCAAGCCGCGAACAGGCACGAACATTGTGAGCTTCGGCGATCTCAACAGCAGCAGTGGCGAAGGCGATGACCAGCCCGCAGGAGCACACCAGCCTGAGATGAGCGGACAGGGCTACAGCGTCGGCAGATCCAGCTCCGGAGTGGTCATCGATATTACCGGCACTGACAGTCTCAATCCCACTCAACTGCGCAATATGCGTCTGCAGCGGTTTGGTCAGGTCAGTTCCACTCAGAAATCCAAAGCAGATGCAGATGCAAATCCAGATGCAGTTGCAAATGTAGATGCAGATGCAGCCAGAAAGCGACGCCGTGCGTCCAGTGATAGCGATATAGTCAGCTGGGAGTCCTACGACGATGATGTGATGATCAAAAATGTGGAAATGCCCGTGATTGATCTGGACGACAGCGATAGCGATGAGGAGCAGCAGCCGGCGAAGGAGGCTGCCAGGAAGCCAGGCGCTAGACACACCATGAGCAGTCTTGAGCGCACCCAGATCATCAAGCGTGAGGTGATGGAGGACGAATCATCCTATTCCGAGGACGATATTCTCTTCATCGATGACGAATACGACGATGGTGAGGCGGCGGCGGCGGCCAGCGATGCCAGTCTCACGGCGGCCACCGAACTGGCCGATCAGTCAATCATCGACGATCTCTTCGGGGAGGACACGCTGCTGGAGGAGTTCCAGCGCGAGAACTCCGTGCTGCCCAGTTGCTCGAACTACTCCAGCAATGTGGACAACGACATCGTCTCCTGTCCCATTTGCTTTGAGAAGATGAAGCGTACGCAGCTGGCCAATCACTTCGAGGGCTGCAGCATCACGGTGCGCGTGGAGTTTAAGGCGAAATGGAGCCAGCCAAGTGCCACCGCTTCATCCACCTCGAAGCCCTCCACTTCCCGTCGCTCCCAGCCAAAGCCAAAGCCAAAGTCGAAGCGCGCTGAGGCAAAGCAGATTCTGCGCGATGCCGGCTACACCAACACGGAGATTGACGAGCTAAATCTCAGCTCCTCCAGCGAATCGGCCACCGTGCTGTCCAGCGAGGATGATCTAACTCCGCGCCAGCGCCGCCAGCGCAGCTTGTTCAAACAGACCGTCTTCTGCCCAAAGTGCGGCCAGGAGCTGATGGGCCACCAGATGAAGGTGCACCGCTCCGTTTGCCAGGCCAATAAGCGCTAGGCTGTCAACCTCAATCTCACCTCCATTTCGTGAAGCCATCTACGTATACGTTATACATATATCTATTTTTTGTGTACCGTTTAAGTACCAATTACATTTTCGTTTGTTAATCCTCTGTGAATACAAATTATGTTACAAGATGCGGCCGTAATATCGCAAGTTCTTTTTATCAGCGTAACGCGTGGCCAGTGCCGGCCAGTGAACCACAAAGAGATCCGCCAGCGGCAGGAGCAGGCGTCCGCTCAGCGAGAGCGTCTCCACGCGACAAAAGCTCTCCAAAAAGACGATCCTGGAGTGCGAGGGCAGGCGTCCGAGGAGGCGCCACAAGTAGGCTGCGTAGCAGAAGGGCACACAGGTGCCGGGTCCATTGCAGAGAATCAGTTGGGGGCGATCTCGCCACACCAGGTAGCAGCTCCAGAGAAGCGCCCACAGGGTGGTGAAGATGCTGCTCAGCCAGGACTGGCCCACGCTGCGGCTGCGCGGCACCCGCTCCGATGCCACCGATCGGGATGCCTGCGGCAGGGCCTGCCTGAACTGTTGCTCCGAGGTGGAGTCACTGCTGGCCAGGATCAGGCGAATGGGATGGTACTTCTTCGCCTGCTGGATGTCCGCCTGCTGCAGCAGCGCCTGGGTCAGTCGGCACATCTCGGCCGTGTGGCCGCCGGAGCCGAGGATCACATAGGTGGGATGAAGCACGCCGGTGGTGGCCATGATCCCTTCCAGAAATTCAATTTGAATGATAGCAAGTCGATAACAAATACATTTGTTTACATTTTCTTTTCGATATATACCTATCGATGAAAGCTTTGATTGTTAATGGCCTTATGACATTGCATTTTCAGCTCGGTACAACCCACATCAGTTTCAAAAGTACATTAAAACACTGTTAACTTGGAGACCGAAAAATGTAATAATGTCCAATAAATATTGTTAAGCATTTAAAGGTTTAAATTAAGCAGTGGCTAAGTTAGAAGTCAAAAGATGAAATATGTAAAAAATATTTTTAAGCTTTAAAAAATATCAAACAATAATGTTTAAATTAAACGTCAACTAGCAAAGCAAGCATATCTCAAGCAATCCACATACATATATTGTTGTCTCTTTCTGTGCGTCAATGAATGAAATCGTCAATGTGTTGCCATAAGGCCATAACTGTTAATAGCTAGAACTAGCTCCCAAATGAACCGTTGGTTCAGGCACTATCGATAACAGCACCGATAGAATACCGATGAGCGTTCCTTGTCGCTCGCAACGAAATTTAAAATTGCGGTAAAACCAGTGATCCCGTGGCGCAATTAGGCGGCTAAGTGTAAAATGTCGCCTCCCGCGGGTAGGAGCAAGTGGTCTTCAGCCGCCGGCAAGACCGAAGCGGAGCGCAACGCCGCCATAGCCGACAATATGAACAAACTGGTCAGGAAGCTGTCGGGAAGGAAGGTAGGTGGCGGGTACCAAAAAGCAGCCATTTTTCCAATCCCATTTATCCGTGGATCTCAAACGCAGGCCAGCGAAGTGGATCTGCGCCGGAACGAGCAGCGGGCCTGGCAGCTGATCCGCAAGTACCGCCATTGGAGCACCATCTGCAGCGATGCGGGCCGCACCCTGGACAGTCTGGTGAGGCGATTCCAGGTAAAACCGAACACTGCCGGCGCTGCCGTCAGGGAGCTGGCCACCAAGCTGTTGGCGCTGCCCGAACAGCTGGAAGATCCCGGCCAGCCGGACGCTGAGGAGTCGCTGCTCAATTTCCTGCTCAGCATGACCAACGTGCCCGTGCAGAACATCCGGCGCCACCGGGAGCTGATGAAGGAATTCCGGCTGTCCCTGTTCGCCGCCATCGAGGAGTCCGAGCGGCAGGTGCAGGAGCAGAAGGCCGCTGCTGCCGCCGCCGCCCACCAGCAGCCGCCAAATGCCGCCGAAACGGAGGTGGACTGGGCGGCCCTGTTCAGCGAGGACTTCCTGGAACCCACGGAGCAGGACAGCTCGGACAGTTTGAGTGTGAGCACCTGAGTAGTCACTCTAGTAGCCTTCTTATTCCTAAAACAGTTGATAACTTGCTTACGGTTAGCATAACTTTTCAAAATCAGCCTGAGATGACCAACAAATTGTAACCTTTAGTTTAAATTTAATTTCACAAAGTAGTTTATAGTTGATAATTTTATTTCTTACAACACAGAAGTATTTATTTGGATAATTTGTTTATAGTTAGCTTAACAAGGCAGGTTTTTATATTGTTATTAGTTCAGAAGTACTTTTAGTTACAAGAAGTAGTATGTAGCTGAAGCCTTTAGAAGCTTGTCAGCATAGCTAATTTGCTAATTAAGTTACTTAAACTTCTTTTGAGAAATGTGTGTGTGTGTGATAATGACATGCTCCTCTTCCTTCGTTTCTTCCCAAAAGGACTGGTCGGATGACTCGGATCAGGGCACAACGTCGACCTTGCGGCCGGGCGAGAATGTGGGCACCTCGTTGGAGCTGCCCCACATGGCCAGTCTGTATGAGCATGCCATGCAGGTGGCCGTTCCGAGTGCGAATGGCTGCGCCAGCTATCTGCCGTCCGTTTCCGCCGAGCATGGCATTCGGCGGCCCTGCTTCCGCATCACCCTGCCCCATCTGCTGGCCCTGGGCAATCCGAGTGCGCATCTGCGAGTGAGCAGGCTGCCGCAGCTGGCGGCGCTGCAGCCGCCGGCGGCAGCCACCGAATACGAAGTGAGTGAGCGGGACACGGACGTGCTGCCGCGCACAATTCATGCCCATTGGTGGCGACGCGACATCGAGGTGAACGTTCTGCCACCGGACGCCGACCCGTTGGCCAATTTTGCCGTGAGCCATGCCCAGGTGGTGAACCGCGACCGCCGGACACGTGGGCTGGTCGAACGACCGCTGCCCAGCACCACCACGGAGCCGTGTCTGATGCGGGAGATCCTGTTGATGTTCGTGGCGCCGGCCAGTTGCTGCTTCTTCGACTTCAACGAGCAGACGCGACGCATCAATGCCCGCTCGAATGTCAGCATCTGCACCGTGACAGCGGTGAGAAAGTGGATTTAGACCGCCTCTTGGGGCCTTAAACACATTTCCATTTCCATACTCATGCCTGCCTATTCCTGTCCAGCACACAATGCAACAGTTCCTGCAAATCAATGTGGTCCCAGCACTGGAGGACATGATGCACCTGCGACGCATCATCGCTGCCCACACCTTGCACTTCGATGACAGCAGTACGGGTACGTTGGAATGCTTTGCCTATTGCTTAAGGGATCTGGTCCGTCCGATTTGCCAGTTGCTCGTCGACTTCGAGAACATTGTCTACGATGATCCCGAAACTGGGACGCTGCTGAACTTTGTGTTTCGGTTCAGGAAACACTTTCGGCAGCTGCGCTTGTTTCGCAATCTGGCCGAAAACGTCATCCTGGAGCAGGGACCGCCACATTTGCGCAGCGCCTATCTGCTGTCCCGACTCGCCAGGCACACAGGCATGCAGGTGCCGCACCAGAAACTGGCCACTGCTCTGCTGCTGATCTCGCTCAAGCGCTACTGCAGCATCATCGATTCCTGGTGGCGTCGCGCCACGCTGGAGGATCGTCGCAACGAGTTCATCCTGGAGAGGTGCGCTGGTCTGATTTCTTCAGCCTTCTTCTGCTCCCTAAATCTATTTATGCATTTGCATTTGCAGGGTGGACAAGGAGGACGGCGACACGGAACAGCGTGGCCGCCATGTGCGCAAGCGTTGTGTGCATCCCGATGAAGGTGTCCAGGCCGTGAAGATCTTCCGGGAACTGCAGTCCTGCCCCTTCTACCAGCTACTGCTGGAGCATGCCCTGGAGTCGGCCGACACGCAGGACCTGCTGGCCAATGTGAATCTGCTGGGCGAGATGCTGGCCACCAGCTACGAGAGACAGTCGCTCTCACTGTTCGACGAGCTGGCCGCCCAGCTCTTCACCCAAATCGAGGTGTATTGTGGCGCCCTGCCAACGGATGACGAGGATGCAGGAGCAGGAGGAGGATCTCAAGAGACGGAGGATCTGGGTGAGGCGGCCGACGAGCTGTTGGTGCAGAATGCCCATGAAAACATTCAGAACGCTGATCTGCGGGCCATACTAACACGACCGGCGCAGGAGCGTCTGTTGGAGCGCCGGCGTCAGCGTGAGAGCAAGCAACCGATTGAGTTTGTGGCCATTATGAGGCGCCTGGAGCGCACCACATGGATGGCGCTGCGGGACGAGCTGCCGGAGGCGCTGCGCACGATCCTGCGCCGTCGACAGTGCCTGGCCAATGAGTACGCCATGCGGGCGTATCGCGTGGAGCTGCAGCTGGGCGAAACGGTTCGCTTCTTGCGGCACACGATGCTCCTGGAGGCATACTACCTGCAGCAGTCCTACTACAATACGCTCTTCACGCGAATCGAGAGCGGTGCCCGCTGGGCCCGGCGCTCAGTGCTCGATGCGGGACTGTTGGAGTCGCTGCGACCAAACTACCCACAGATGGCTGAGAAACTACGCATAAAGGTGATATCCAGGATCGGCAGCGACACGGACAAATTCTACGAGGGTGTGGAGGCCCTCAAACTGGTGTACGACATGCCGGTGGCCCTGCAGCGCATCCTCAGCGAGCGGCACATGCAGCACTACAATGCCGTGTGGCGGCTAATGCTGAAGGTGAAGTGGGCCGCCTGGAAGCTGGAGAATCTCACGTTCCTGCGACGTCCCGGCCGAAGGCCATACGCTCCCCTGGATCTGATCGGTTTGATGATCCGCCGCCTGGAGATCCTGCGCTTCTGGCTGATCTACCTCATTGGCAGCCTGCACACCCACATTATGCAGGCCGTGGAGCAGCAGTTTGAGCTGCGTATTGGTCTGTGCAAGAATATTCGACAGTTGAGCGACCTGCACGACGAGTACATGTCGTTGCTGATGACCCACTGCCTGCTGACCGGGGAGTTTGCCACCTTTCGCGGCACCCTCGAGCAGCTCTTCAATCTGATCTTTGTGCTGGACTTGGAGTGGACCAGCTGTGCCTACCATCTGGGCGACAACGATGCCCTGAGCTTGGATTCAAGCGGCGAGACGGACAGCGAGGCGGAGGGCAGCAATGCTGCTTACCCGACCCTCAACCACGTGGTGGAGATCGAGACGACGTACATCCGGTGCCATCAGACCATGGCCGCGATTCTCACCGATCTGGTCTACAAGCAGGATCACGGATTTCGTAAGTAAATCGTTCGTTCCTCATGGTGGCCCTTATTAACCTTATTAACTTTGTCTTGCAGTTACCGCCTTGGAGGGTGCCGTCAACGGCAGTGTGCCCCACTGAATCGGAATCTCCACCGTAGCACAGTATTACTGCACCAATTGCCATGTGCCCACAACCAGGCCCAATGATGCCCAATGATGCCCAATCACTCCCATCATTCCCAAGTGAATTAAATGAAGCTTATTCTTGTTGAAATCTCAGTGGAATTCCTCCTCGTCGCTGTCGAAGTAGGGCTGCTCGATCGCTGGCACCGGTGTGGTCTTCTCGTGGAGCGTGGCCCGCTGGATGTACGGCTGGCAGATGATCTCGCACATGCGGGCGGTGGCAAAGACAGTGCGCTGCGGGTAGCACCGCCCGTTGATGTGCTCGCATCGCCGGTGGCCCGAGCTCCGATTGAAGATGTACAGCTCGGCGCAGGGCGAGCAGTTGGTCTGGCCGACTAACCGCGACTGCAGGCACTGGAAACGGCGCTCGTTGGGGCTGATGCCCGTTGACAACTGCCGGATGCCGGTGGCCAGGAGCATGGCCAGCAGACCAAGCCACCGCACGAGCACTCCCTGACCCTTCATGGTTCAGACTCATTTTCAGTCTCATTTTCAATCAGCCTCCAGTTTCGCTTTCGTTCGTTTCGCCACCTTTTAATGGTCGATGTCATGGTTGTTTTGGCAATTGATACGCTGTTAATCTCTATTTCGAGTTAGCGAACTCTTCTTAAATCTTTTATCCAAAGAAATATCACAACAAAAAGATTATAGGCTTTACAAGTATTTAAATACTTTTCCTATAAACGACGCTTCATTAATCCGATTTAGGGCATTGCTTTATGGATAAAATTTATCTGCTATAAATCGATTTTATTAATTTATTACTATTATTCGATCGCGGAATGGCTAATGGCTAATGTTTTCTGTTTCTAATTTCGATTGCAGACAACCAACATTTACAGTGGGCCAAAAAGTTTACGAACGTTTTATAAAAGGTTTCAGTGCAAAGTGTACATAAACTTTTTTTGCCTACTGTAAGTACTTTTCACCTAAAGATTCTTTTTAAAAGCATTTTTGGGCCTTATATTAAAAATAGATATTCGATTGTGTTTCTAATTTTTAAATACTTTTTGTTTTTCAATTTTGATAGCAAAAACACAAATATTGAAATACTTTATCCTTTAAAAATGCCATTCAGTTCATAATGTATAAGTAATATTGATAAACAAGAAATTCGTTTACAAAATTTTTTTTTTTTTTCTTTTTTTTAGTTTTGATCGCGAATAATTCAAAGTTCTCAAAGCTTTGTAGAATATGTACTCGTATTATGAAATGTGTTATAGTTATTGAGCTTGGTAAAAGAGTGAGATTTCTATAATTATCGAGGAATAATATAATTTTCAAGAATTTCAATCTAGTTATTTTAAATGCTTTAAAAAAAAGTCAAAAATAACTAAGACAAAGTCGAGAATATATGTCAAAAACTTCCATTTTATGTTAGTTTGTGGGGATAGTGATATTCGAATCTCAAGGACCTTTTCGAGTGTGAGAGCAGCCAGCTTTTAGTCCGGCAGCCGGCAGAATGTCCTTGTGAATTCCAGCTGATTGCGTTGCCAGGACGACCGACGAAAAAAATACAACAGAATTATCTACCTTATAGCCAGGCGGATTTGGGAGAAACGGAAATCCTGTTTGGGATGGCGTTCTCAGTGTCGCCACATCGGGCCAACCTGGTGCTCCAGATGCTCCTCCAGGCCAACACGTATGTGTCTATGGCTTGGGCCCTGAGCCACTTGCTCCACATGCTCATCCGCGTGAGTCTACCCACCATCACTGTGCCCCAAAGTCAAACTCTAACTGTATCCGCCATTGACCCCGTAGTTCAGTCACTTGTGCAACTTGGAGGGCCTGTCCATGCTGGCAGCCTACATCCTGGCCGTGTCCGCCGAATCCGTGCGCTTGTGGGCCGGCTACTCCATCAATCTGTGCTCCGGCGCCACCGCCATGTGGCTCCTGCTCACGGTGACGCCCTGCATCCTGCTGCCCTCGATGGCATTCCTCCGTCTGTCTTCCGCCGGACGAAGTCTATGGCTTGGCATTGTCACAAATGCCGTGCTGGCGATGATTGCCCTCGAGGTAGTCGCATGCCTGGTGCACTTTGTGATCTGTAAGCCGGGTTCGAGGAAGAAGATGCCCATGTCCCTGGAGGAACAGGAGGAACTGGACGAGGAGCAGCAGCTATCCGCCCGAGTAGTGAAGTGAAGAAGCGACAGCAGGCGTAGATTAAGGCTCTGAGGTTTACTTGGACATTGGCATACATAAATAATAATAAAGTAGGATAAGCTATTGAAGCTAAGCTAAGCTAATGAACGAATGATCTTCCGCCGATCACAATCTCCGATCACAATCACAATCGTCAATCACACCTTCTTGGCATCGTCCAGGTTGTGCGCCTTAAGCAGGGCATCGATTGCGTCCAAATGGGCACGCATTGTGGGCAGAAAGCTGGCCAGCACCTCCATGTTCTCCTCCTGGGCGGCTCCCTGGCCGAGTAGTTGGCTCCGAGTGGGCACCCAGCTGTAGATGATCTGGAATAATCATAATAATGGGAATGGGATATGGGATATGGTAATGACATGGAGACGGAGGAGCAGCCATCCACACCCACCTTGATTGTACTCTGGACAATGAAGCCATGGTAGGGCTTCAAGGTGCGCTCGTAGGCGTCCTGCAGGTGCTGCTTGAGTGCCTCCTTGGCCTGCGCATCGTTGTAGATGTTCTCGAAGAAGGCGCAAATTAGCTGGAGGCCGCGTTTCAGCCAGAGCAGTGCGTTCGCCGCAAAGTTGTCCACGTTCACGTTCAGCACAATCAGGTCATCCAGATATTGGTACTTCAACACATCCGACCCATAGGCTTTCGTTAGTTTCTAAATCGAAAAAAAAAGACAATTGTTTTTTATTAGGTATTTTCATTTTTTTTGGAATTAAATGAAACTATTGATTTTATATATTTCTTTAAGACAAATATTTTCTTATTAGTAAAAAACATTGTTTATAAATGTGTGTAATAATTTCCTCTAGAAAATAAACCTCACTGGTAAAGTGAGCAACATTTTAATATGAAAATCAAAATTTAAATTTAGGTAACTAAGGTGCAATAAGGAAGAAGGTAAAATAAACATATATATACTTTAATATATATTCATATATTAAAATATACACTATAATACCAAACTGCATAAAGTTTCCTTTTAAGCCCCTATTTTCCATAATAAAAATATATAACTTTTTTGGATCGTAAATATTTTTTAAATGCAATCAGTCAAAATTATTACAATAAACAAATAATTTGCTAATTTTAAGATCTCATTAGAACAAGTGTTCTAAGGTAAATAAATCATTTTTGAGATCAAGGATCAACCAAATAGTACAAATATTATGGAAGTTTAAATCACAAATTATTTTGATAATAAGAGTTGTACTTTTTATGAAGACAAATGCATTTATGTTCTATATGTTGTACTCCCTGAGAGTTAAAAAATGTTCTTAATTAATCATAGTTTTCAGATTATCTATTAATCTTGATCCCAACAAATCTAGATACCTTTAATAGCTTAAAATTATAGATCTTACGTTTATGTTTCCGTTCATGTCGTTGATCACGGGCGTAAAGAGTTTGCCGAAGGTCTCTGAAAAATGTGAAAAAAGTAAGTAAGCATACGCTGGCAAATCGATTGGTGGAGTGCGTTATCACCTATGACGGTCACTATCTCCTTGGAGGCGGCGAGGAAGGCCTGTGTCTCCAGTTTGTCAGCGGTGTTGGCCGGAAATCCCTTCAGCGCCTTGAACTGAATTCGCGCGGATCCCTCGCTGGCTGCCATTGTGACTTGTGGACTTGTTGACCTGTTGCGACTTCGCTTGCGATTCCAAGTGCCAAGTGCCGAAAATTCGACTGACTGCTGGCGAAGCGTTCCAAACGAAGACTGACCACGAATATCTGCAAGTGGAGGTGCGAAAGTTGGTGAATCAATGCGTGTTTATCTTATCGCCCATTGACTATTACTATTTACGTATTTAAATTGTCACTATCGAACAGCGATAATGGAGAGTCAAATAGTGCGTGCTACATAGTTTACTTAGCTCCCCAGTTTCACAACAGATTCAGATTCAGATTGAGATTCAGATTCAGACTCAGAGCTTTAACCCATTCGAACACAAGCTGGTGCTTTAGCTCCGAGAGAATTTCAACGAAAGAGCGCAGTTGGCACAAAACCTGATTGGATCGCAGCTCTTTTTCTTCGCACAATGGGCAAAAAGTCAGTTTCATTGGCATTAAACTCCCATATACTACGTTTAAAAATAGCCAGAAACAAATGGGTTCTAATGAAATTTATAGATTGGTTTTCTGAAATCTATAATTTATATATACTTAAACTAATTGTATAATTTATTTCAATTTAAAACTTAAATCGCTTATTAATATTAGTGGTGAAAATTGTGAGATATGGCACAATCATGAATAAGAATTTATTGATATAGAAAAAATATAATTTTGTTCATTATAAACTTTTTTTTTTTTTTTAAGTTTTCCCTTGTTATAATTTATTAAGTTTAAAATTTAAATTCCTAATTTTTCATTTTAAGAATTATTATTATTTGTTTTAGAACTGACAAAGAAATATTAAATATTTTTTCTACTTATAAATTAAAAAGAATAGGTCCCATTGTATACAAGAAACTAAGGTCATCGGTTTAAGCAAGTATATTTAATAAAAAACTAAAAATATTTGAACAGAAACCGAAAGTGTTTAAGGAACAATGTCAAAATATACTCAATAATACAAAAAAACAGTGGTTTAAATTAAAATAAAAACAAATAAATAAGCACTTTAAAATATAAAATAAATTCATGAACTAACTAGCTACTATCCACGTGTTATTTTTCATTTCGAATAGGAATAATCAACTGATAGTACTGAAAACGCTATCAGCTCTTGAAAATTCTATAAATTTATGGCATTCTTTTTGCAATCTTTATCAAATGGTGTTTATTTTATTACCCGCACCACAACACAGATTGATTTTTGGAAAACTAACAACTGAGCCGCACTAACAAGTTGGCAATAAAGCTATGACTCAGCGATGATGGGTGGGTTTATCAGGTAATTTGTTTAGGTGGCGGGTAAATGTTTATCAGCTTAATTGATTGCCTCTTAATGGAATTGCCTTCAAACAAAACCACACACACCCACAAATGTTTGCTGTAAATTATGGTTGTTTTACTGATTACTTTGAGGAAATACCCCTTTATATTACCCTTATGGAGGGTATTTTTCAATAAGTTTGCAACGATATTTACTTGTTAGCTATTGAAATTGAATTTATTTAGCTTTTGTATAATATGTTTATAGCAAACTTTCGAATTTCATCCAGTATTCTTTTATATAACATTTTAAAAATGTTTTCTAAGAAACCAATTTGCATATTTCCCAACGTTTTGAAGAGTTTAACTTTGAATATCATGTTTGCCTTAGTTATCAGGAGCTTAACTTGGCCAAAAGTTTTTCGAACTTATATGTGCGATAAAACCTTAACATTTTAGTCCACATTTAACAGACAAATTCTTTAAATATCTTTTAAAATTTCAAATAAATTGAATCAGTAAAGTCTACACTTAAATACAAAACCTATATCATATTTCCATTTTAGTTCACATTTAACATACAAATTCTTTAACTATCTTTTAAAATTTGGTCAACTAGAACTGCGTGACTCACACAGAAGACATCCTTAGCACTTGAACGCCCCGAAGAGGTGGTGACTCACCTGGTTGGATTAATGCTACTAGTGCTCCTGCTGCTCCTTCAACTGCTGCGCTTGCAGGGCTTCGTGTCCTATGAATCACAGGAGAGCCGCTTGGTGTCGCCACTGGTGGTCAGCACGAAGACGTAGTGGGTGCGCTGCTCGGCCAGCAGATGCCACAGGGAGGCGGGCAGCTGGAAGCGGTGCACGGGCGCCTCCTGCTCGCCGAACTCCTCGTAGTGGGCCACCAGACTGTTCTGGTTGCAGCGCAGCTCGACCAGCCGCAGTGGCCTGCCGGACACGATCTCCTTGGTGGTCCGGCTCAGCTGGATGTGGGCGGCCTCAAAGCTGGCGGCGGCCGTGTGCTCCAGTTCCGGATTGAGCCAGCGATGGTGGGCCAGGATGACGGCGCAGTTGCGTCCAAAATAAAAGCTATCGTGGCGCCGCTGGTTGTGATAATTGTCCAACAGCTGGCTGCTGCTGCCGCCGGGCTGCAGTTTCAACTTGGTGAAGCGGGGTCGCTGCTGGTCTCCGGATGCCTCCGACGATGGGCTAGCCGCTGATCGCCTGGCCGCAACGATGCGCTGGGGCAAATGCTCCGTGGGCTGGTCCACGGTCAACACACGATTCAGATAGTCGAAGCCCTGGCCCATCACCCCCTCGGTGGTGTGGCCCAGGTCGAAGCAGTGGCCCAGCTCGTGGCACACGGCGCCCAATGTGCTGGCATATACACCGCCGTAGGTGCGACGATAGTTGCTCTCGTCCGGCAGCCGGGCGATGTCCACCCGTTCCGTGCTGCGCACACAGTCGCCGATCTCCGAGAAGCTGGTGGGCCAGGCGTAGAAGTGGGCACTGCCAAACAGGGCCAGTCCGCCGCCGCCCAACGCCGCGTGTCCCTTCAGATGCCGCCGGATGTTGGCGTAGGAGGAATCACCGCTGGCCGCCACTCCGTCGCCGTCGTAGTGCGTGCAGCCCACGAAGGCCACGAACTTGAGCAGCAGCTGGTGGCCCCACTGCGGACAGGCGATGATCTCGCCGGCAAAGTGCTGCCACAGTGCGTCCTCGGTCCGGGCCAGCGCCTCCGAACGCGTCAGTTGGCTGCGGAAGGAGCAGCAGGCGCCGTTCAGCGTGAAGGTGCGATTGGGGGAAGCCGGCCGCCTGCAGCTTGTGGGCGTAGATGGACTGCACGAGACGCAGGTTGAGATCGATCAGCGAGTGCAGCTGGCGCAGCTGCTCCTCCGGACGCTCCTCGTCCCGGCAGAGCACGTAGAGCGGCTGCACCCGGTACGAGCTCCGGCGGGGCTTATACTTAAACCGAATCAGGCGGGCGGCGCTGCAGGAGCGCAATTCCAGCAGGCAGTCAATCTCCTCAGGATCGAGATCGGTATTGGTATTGGGATGGGAATTGGGATGGCTATTGGTATTGGAATCGCCGCGCTCCAAGTCAAAGAGCAGCTTGAACTCGCCGGCGGCCGAGAGTTGGGTCAACTGCTCGCTGGACTGATGCTCGGGCAGATCGAGGGTGGCCTTCAGTTGGCGCGCCGTGGAGCACTTGGGCTGCAGGCGCCCCTTGACCAACAAAATGCCGTGCTGCACGCGCTCCGCCTCCAGCGGCTGCTCAACCTCGATGCTGTGCAAGCGCTTGCAGCCGGCAGTGCCGCTGCTCATTGCCGATCCTCTTCAGAATCTCCGCCCCGCGGGTTTCCTCGGCCAAATTCCGAAATCCCGAAGTACCCAAATACCGAAATACCGAAATTCCAATGTAGCGAAAACAAAAGCACAACAAAACCCGGGCCAGTGCTGCCAGACCTTGCGAATAACCGCTTAGTGGGCGGACCCAAGCTCGTAGCTGTAAATAATTGGTTGGGGACCCAACTGAAAGATGCTGCTGAAAGAACATGAAAGGCTGGCAACGCTGGTTTGTTCGCCAACTGAAAAATGCGAAAATTGTGCGAGTATTTAATTTCCTTAAAATCAGCAGAAAAGCTGAGTTTTTTAAAATTATTTTTCGCTTATTTAAAAAAAAAAAATTTTAATGTAACTACCTATGAATAATGTAAAAATTTTCCGAAAACTGTATTTATTGATATCAGCAGGAAAGTGATGACGGTTGTTCCTTCGGGTTGTCAGCTGTGCAAAGCAGTAATCAAAATGTATCCGAAAAAGCTTTAAAATTTTTTTTTTTTACTTAAATTATGTTATTGGTTCTCCAAACAAAAACCCAAACTTTCGTTTTAGCATGTTTATTTCATTTGATAGGTACGAGTTGATTTGATTTTTGTACCTAGACAAGGTCATAGGTCCCCCAAAGAGTGTACCCAAGTTAAATAATATCCAGGCATCCATTGCCAACACTGGAGTGTGAGCAGAGTGTGACCAGTTGGTGCGCAGCCGAAAAGCTACCGTTTGATGGCCGCTTTTGGCCAGGCTTTTCGGTATTTTTGATTGGCCGCAACACAGCTCTAACCGGAGCGCGGGACGGGAGCGAATAATTTGTAATTAATTAATCTTCAATCGCAACTCTGGATGCACCTGGCGATGCGGACATGATCGCCGTCGCAGAACCGCCGCTGGAGTTTGTGCCGCGCGGCCGTCAGTCGGCCGCGGAGCACCCGGGACCGCACAACCAGACGCTGGCGCGGCACCAGCTGCCCAACACGGAGCACCTGCTGCTGCAGCGGCTGCAGAACGTCAACATCTCGTCGGCCGGCGAGGATGCCGGCCCCAACGGCGGCTGCCAGGAGTCGTGGACGATCCGGGAGATGTACGACGACTACGAGGCGGCCGAGGAGCGAGCCGCCCGCCGGCGCCAGCTGATCGAGCGGACCAAGCGCTGCGGTCCCAAGGCGGCGGCGGCCACGCAGCTCACATCGCTGCCGCAGGGACTGCTGCATCCGCCGCTGGAGCGGCGCGAGGAGCCCATGTGCGACTACATGGTGAACAACGAGGAGGAGCTGTATGTGCACCGCAATACGGTCGTGTGGACGCAGGGCTTCAATGACGACAACGACGACGGGGTATACCGGCGCATGTGCTTCACCAGCGACACACCGGTGCGCTTCGCCTGCTTCCTCAATCGCAGCTTCGTCCGCGGTCGACTGGCCCAGATGAAGGCGGCCGCGCAGTCGGAGGATGACGACCTCACCGCCATCTGTGTGATGGACCAGGACGCCGTGCGGGTCTATCGCAACGACGGCGAGGACTACCTGGCCAACCTGGACTTTCCCGTCTCGCAGGTGTGGCAGACCAGCCACGGCCTGCTGCTGGAGAAGGACTCCAGCAGTGCGCTAATCTCGCACCTGTCCATTCCCATGCCGCGTCTCTTCTCCATGTCGCATCCGCTGCACGAGGCCTGTCCCGTCGTCCTGAAGACGGCCACCGGCTCCACCGGCTACATGACCGAGCCGGAGTACAGTGTCGTCTTCACCACCGAGGAATCGGACCTGGTCCTCCTGTACGACGCCAAGTTCTTCAAGCATTTTGTGGCCCGCCTGCGCAAGGTCACGCCCGACGAGGTCAACTGTGTGGGCCTGCAGCAGGAGCTGGGACAGACGATGCTGGGCGCCCGCTCGCAGGCTGGTGGCCATAGCTTCAGTTCCACCAAGCACATGGGCGGTGAGTACTGCGTTCCGGCCGAAAGGCATATACATCAGTATATAACAGAGACTCACTTTGCTTTGCTTACCTTCTGATTGCCAGCCACGCCAAAAGCTCCGCAAGCCTCGTTTCTGGGCAACGTCTCCAAGTTCGGGCTCAGCCAGTCGCAGTCTTTCAGCGGCGTGCTCGGCCAGTCCAAGTAGGTTTGACTGCCTCGGTCGACTAGTTAGCTCTGGTAGCTTGACTAACTGATTCCCCTTCTCTTGCAGTCGCGCCTCCTTGGGCACGCCACTGAGCCAACTGCAGAGCAGCATCCGAAGCAGCAAGTCCATGTCCGTGATGGATATGCGCAAGATGACGCACGTGAAGCCGGCGAAGCCCATTGAGCCGGAGATGTGTCTAGAACACATCTGGTCAGAGAACACCTATGGCACGTGAGTGATTTGCAGCAGCCAGGAGTGAAGAGTGGAGCCAATCATTAGTATTCCCCCACATTCCCCACATTCCAGGCAACGTGAGTTCTGCGAGATGGCCAGTCGAGCCTTCATCCACACGGATCTGGTGGGTCAGACCTTTCTGTGCTACCTGCTGGCCCGCTCCTGCCGCCTGCAGTTGGTGCGCCTCACTGGCTACGGCAGCAGCGAGGTGCAACTCTCGACGCTCGCCTCCACGCTGTCGGCCAAGGATGCCGTGGGCCTCAACAGACTGCACATGATTGCCGTGCTCGATCCGGGCGGCAGTCTGATCCTCTACACCGGCACTGTGCTCATTTCCAAGGTGCACATTACCCCGCTGCTGGCGCCGACCGCATCGCTGGCCACACCTCTGTTCACGCCCACGGCGGCTGCAGCTGCAACGCCGCCGCCGCCAGTGTCGGCCCAGTCGAAGGCCCCAGTATCAGTGGCCGGATGTGGCAGCAGCAGTTCCTTTGTGGAGGTGCGCCGAAGCAGCCTGCTGCCCACGAAGGCCCCAGGTGATTTGGCCGCCTTCGACGAGGAGCTGCACATGCTGTCGCCCATTCCACCGCAGGCGGTGTCCTACACGCAACGGCAGGCGCACAATGTCTGCAAGTCTTTGAGAGATCCGGCAGGCAATAGACTTACCTTGGTCTATGCCACCGGCAGGATGCTGAGGATAGCGCTGCCCTTGTTGAATGATACCCGGCTGCTGACCAGATGCGTGGCCACGTTGCGCCAGATTCTGAGTCCCGATCAGTTTCTGCACTTTGTGATCCGTTGGTACAGCGCCAGGAATCCGCCGGGATCCAGGGACTACTCCATCGAGCAGGAATGGCTGCTCTTCCGCTGCACTCTGCTCGCCCTGATGGGTCTGACTGCCGCTCCGGATGTGGAGTCGGGCGAGAGCTATGGCAGATGTGGCACGCCCTCGCTGCATACGCATTTCGGTGGAGCGACGGCCACCAGTACGGGATCGGGTGACGGATCCAATTGCAGTTCCAATTCCACGCTGGGCGCCCAGGATGAGCCAAAGAAGCGGCGAAAGTACAACGACTGCGAGGATTTCACGGACGACGACTGGGAGTTCCTGCTGCTGCAGACCACCATGGCGCCGTGCGGTGCCGATGGGCACAGCTACAGCGTGGACGTCCATGCGCCGCTCTTCCAGATGATTCCCGCCATCTTCTTCGGCCTGCATTTACTGTACGAGGATCTCAAATTGGACGCCGTCTTCTATGCGGCGCTTCCCTATCTTGCAACGGTGGGTGGACATAGTATGTGCTTGCTTTGGTAGTCACATGATGCATTTTCCCTTCCACCATTTAGTTCCTTTACCAGCTGGCCATCGATATGCAGCTGGATAGCTATGTGCTGCACTACATCCTGGACTTTCCCGAGCTCTCCAATCGCACTGGAAAGCTGTCGCTGCTGGCAGCGGAGCACGGGGCAATGATGCTGCACCAGGAGCTGCTCAGGGTGCCGGCGCCCAGTGTGTTTGCCCAACTGGAGCACATTGTGGTGGGCGAGGAGGAGGTGCTGCCCTACAGCTACATGGACTGTGTGAACGAACGGAGTCGCAATCTACTGCAACTCGTCTCGCTGGTGGTGCACGGCCAGGAGCGGCTCAAGCACTGGTGGCAGCTCCTCGAGATCCCCGACGCCGTGCAGGCCAACTATCCGCGACGGACAAGACGGAGCATTACGGCGGATGCACCACGTTGCCACCAGATGGTCGAGCTCATACTGGCCATGCGTTTGACCCGACGCGACATCGAGAGATTCCCGGCCGCCGTGCATCTAATTGTGGCGGAGGCCTTGGAGGAGGCACGCCTATCGCCGCCCATGGGCTGCAGCATGGCCACCTACGAGCTGATCCTGCGCCCCGAACTGGCCACGCATGCACAGCTGCCGTTCCTGGAGACGAGCATTGGCCAACCGCACTGCGGCCGGGTCTACAAGGAGGACTCCCTGTCGGCCAGATGTCCGCCCAGCGGTGGAGCAGAACCCGAGCCGCCGGAACAGTTGCGGCACGACGACATGGACAACATGGACACGAAGCTGTTGCGCTTGCGCTTCCCGGACGACATGCGCGTGGAGGAGGTGCGTCGGCTGTTGAACAGCACGGAACCGGTGGTGATCGAGGTGCAACAGTCGCCGGGCACCAGCGATCACGAGTTCATCGAGGAGCAGGAGAAGCAGCTGTTTGCGCTGTGCGCCAGAACGATGACCCTGCCGCTGGGCAGGGGCATGTTCACCCTGCGTACGATGATGCCGCGGCCCAGCGATAGCCTGGCCATGCCCAAGCTGTGCCTGGTGGGCCGGGAGCCGCTGAAGGGCACCACCATCGAAATGCAACAGATCGAGTTCCCCGCCAACATGCAGATGTGGCCATCGTTTCACAACGGCGTCGCCACGGGCCTGAAGATCTCGCCGCAGGCGCAGGACATCGACTCCACGTGGATTGTGTACAACAAGCCCAAGGCGCAGGCGAACAATGCTTTGGAGCATGCCGGTTTCCTCATGGCCCTCGGCCTCAATGGCCACCTGAAAACGCTGTCCTTCATGAGTGTCTACAAGTATCTGGTCATGTGCGATGAGATGACCAATGTGGGCCTCCTGCTGGGCATCTCCGCAGCCCATCGCGGATCGATGGACACGAAAACGACGAAGCTACTGAGCGTCCACTTGGAGGCCCTGCTGCCGGCCACCGCCATGGAGTTGGACATACCGCAGAGCACCCAGGTGGCCGCTCTCATGGGCATCGGTCTGCTCTATCAGGGCTCGGCCAAGCGGCACATTGCCGAGGTGCTGCTGCAGGAGATCGGCAGGCCGCCGGGTCCCGAGATGGAGAACAGTGTGGAGCGCGAATCGTATGCCATGACCGCCGGCCTGTCCCTTGGATTGGTCACTTTGGGCCAGGGTGAATCGCCGGCGGGATTGCGGGATCTGCAGCTGCCGGACACGCTCCACTACTACATGGTGGGCGGAGTGAAGCGACCCATCAGCGGATCACAGAAGGAGAAGTACCGACTGGCATCGTTCCAGGTGCGCGAAGGCGATAGTGTCAACATAGACGTCACCGCTCCGGGTGCCACGCTCGCTTTGGGACTGATGTTCTTCAACTCCGGCAATGCGGCCATTGCCGAGTGGATGCAACCGCCGGACTCGCGCTATCTGCTGGACATGGTGCGGCCGGACTTCCTGCTGCTGCGCACCATTGCCAGGGGCCTCATCCTCTGGCAGGACATCCGGCCGGACAACGAGTGGTTCCAGGCGCAGTTCCCGCCAGCCCTGCGCATTCACCTGAGGCTCCCGTCGCGCGACGACGAACCAACCGGCGAGGACGGCGACGTCGACTTTGAGGCCATCACGTAAGTGGCTAAAGTTTAGTTCTTCACGAAGGGATATCCATTTCAATTTTAATTTATTTTAATTCATATGCCAGCGCATGAACAAGTATAGACTTAATAATTATTAATTTGATTTAACAAAAAATAATCATATAATATTTATTTGTTAAACTGGGTTTTTTTTGTTTATAAAAATATATTGTTGTTTGAAAAAAGCGATAGCTCACAAAATAATGATTAATTCTTGAGTACTTTTTATCGCTCAAAAAATAATTCATAAATTCTAATTTTATTTTATTACGATCCCTGCTTAAAACTTTTACTTTTTACTAAAATTTTTTGGTCTTATTCAAGATTTTAATGTATTATTTTTGATAAATTAGTTATTATAGATAGATTTTTTATTATTTTATTTTTTATTCATAAATTTAACATTTTTCTCTTGTTTTTTATTTTACTTTAGGTATTCTTTCTTCTTATATTTATTTTATATTTTTAGCTATGTGGCAGACGATTAGCATTTACGAGTTATATCTTGAGCATATAAAGTTATTATATATCGGTTCTTAGGTTATCATAGCATTATTATTATTATTTTTTGTATTATATGAGGTTCCTATAGTATATTCACGTATAGTTCAGGTCAAGAATTTTATTAGTAATTAATTATTTTTATTAGGTAACTGGTAACTGAATTGAAGCCTTAAGCATAAATGAAACAAAAACGTATACTAACATACTATGTTATATGAAACTGCTTTGGGCATTAGAATGTCCTTAGGAACCAACAGCTTTGTTTGCAGCTGGAGAAATGCTCAAGTGTTCAATGTACTATTGAACGTAATCCATTGCATGGCCGTGTTCCTAATCCTAATCCCAAAAAACATCCCGATTTCAGGCAAGCCTACTGCAATATCATGGCGGGGGCGGCTTTCTGCATCGGTCTCAAGTACGCGGGCACGGAGGACATGGTGGCCTTCGCCACGCTGCGGGCAGTCATCAAGGAGTTCCTCGGTTTCCCCGGCACGCCAATGGGCGAGTGTGCCGGCCGCACAACAGTGGAGAGCTGCCTGATGGTGTTGCTCATCTCGATCTCGCTGGTGTTCGCCGGTTCCGGGAACTGTGAGATCCTGCGCATCATCCGTTATCTCCGATCGCGTGTGGGCCCACAGTATCCGCACATAACCTACGGCTCTCACATGGCCATTCACATGTCGCTGGGCCTGCTGTTCCTCGGTGCCGGTCGCTTCACCATTGCCAAGACACCGGAATCGATAGCGGCGTTGGTGTGCGCCTTCTTCCCCAAGTTTCCCATACACAGCAACGACAATCGGTGAGGATTGGGCTGGGGCTGTTTCACAGGGTAGATGGAGGAGGAGGTGGACTAAAACCATTGTTTACCCTTTAGCTACCACCTGCAGGCGCTGCGACACCTGTACGTGTTGGCCGTGGAGCCGCGCCTTTTCCTGCCCCGGGACATTGACACCAATCAGCTGTGCCTGGCCAACATATCGGTGCTGGAGGTGGGCGCCACCGAGATGCGCCGCCTGCCCATCGCACCCTGCATCCTGCCCGAGCTGAGCAGCCTGCAGCAGGTGGTGGTGGACGACGAGAACTATTGGCCCGTGTGCTTCGAGCGCTCACGCAACTGGCATCAGCTGGAGAAGGCGCTGGAGATGAGCGCCCCCATTGACATAAAGAAGCGAACGGGCTGCTTGTCTCATCTGGAGGATCCCGACCGGCTGAAGAGCATGCTGGCGCAGACATTGACGATGGAGCAGAGCATCTGTTGGCAGATTGATAGCAACGATCTGCAACAGTTTGCCAGCGAACGGATGGTGAAGCCGTTCCTAAGTCGCTGCCTGGCCACCAAAGGGACGGATTTGAGTTATCCGGAACTGGTGAAGCGCCACCAGATGATGCTGCTCTTCTACAATGCCGTCGTCAAGGATCGCATGCATCTGCTGCCCGCCTACCTAACGCTCTACGACGTGAGTCGAAAAATAGTTTTGAATTAGTAGCGAATTCCATGTAAAACATAATGACTGCTCTATTCCGCCAGCATGTGACCAAGTCGATGTTGACCAACATCGATGTGTGGCAGCTGAAGCTGATCGATGCCTACCTGAATCGCAGCCAGGAGTCGGAGCATCCGCTCATCTCTGTGGAGCTCATCCAGATGATGCAGGAGCTCTTCAAGCAGGAAATGGAGGACTCGACGCGCGAGTTGTGCCTGCCGCTGAGGGAGTTCCTCAGCCGGAAGCGTTTGGAGCCGAGCTATGTGACCACCGTCAGTGGGCCGGATTTGCAGCGGACTTTCTGTGTGATCAACTACTATAACCTGTTGCCCAATATGCTGAATGGCGTCGATTTGAGTACGGGCACGGTGAACTATATGCGCATACTCTACGAATTCCGGCAACTGAATCTCGGCGCGCACACCATCTTCGGGCTGCTGAAGATCCTCCAGGCACTCGCCACCGAGGTGGTGACCCTGGACGAGGCCGCCCTATTGGCGTACACCATGGCCACCCAATGATCCTCGACCGACATTATCGTTTTTCTAGCCTAAAATATATATTTTGTAATATCTGCTTGCCATGCGGATATGTGTACACTTATTTTTGAAAGCTCTTGCTACTCAGGTTTTCCCTCTCGCAGTTCATTACTACATATAACTTTACTTGAAAGTTTAAAGTTTGCCACACTAACACTAGCTATAACTGAATTTAAGAAGCACAACAGTTTTTATATTTCTTCAAAGAAAGATTTTTTTTGTGGATCTATTTTCAATTGCCGCCAAAAATTAAATGAATTTTTAGAAAGTGGCCAATGACGCTTATGTTTTAAAGCCAAGTCTATTAAAAAACAAATGCATTAAGTAATTTCGCATCATTGATAATTTTTAAACAAATCAGTATGCATTATCCCTGAGAGAAATATAATACATTATAAACAGATGGCAAATAATTGTATTAAAACAATTCAAATGAAAATCATTTACGTTCGCATACAGGTATAAATATCACTTTATTGTAAAATGATTACAAATGACTTAGGTGTACAAAATTCTGGAATATAATGTGGTTGAGATTTATTGCATTTGTTGGCCCCCAATCTCGCTTAACTGCATCTCAGCCTTGTCTACAAACTACACGATGTATAAGTTATCAAAAAACCAATGTGTACAAATACTATAACAATGAAAGTAGTACAACAGCTATCAATAATATGTAAAGCTTAGCATCTCAGTGCTTAAACAATCCGCTCCGCTTCGGAAGCGGTGGCTTCCTGCGTTTTGGGTGCACAGCATCGTTTGTAAAGATAGATTCCCAGCAGTGGGAACGGCGTCATCACGGCCACCGATACCGGCACCACCGTGGTGAGGTCCGCCTCCGGCGATTCCAGCGTGGTCGTCAGCAGGAAGATGGCGATGCCCGTATTCTGGATGCCCGTCTCAATGGCGATGGTCAAGGCGTCGGCGGCATTCTGATGCAGCAACTTGGCTGCCAGCCAGGCGAAGATGTAGCCCAGGCCCGGCAGAGCCATGCCCGCTACGGCAATCTGGAACAGGGCGTTAAAGTTCACAATTAGTTACTATAGTTTGTACTTTTGCATTTGTTTAAAAGTATTACAATTCTTAAAAATACATGACATAAAAAGTGGCCTTTAAATTGCACATTTAATTGTGGTTTGGTTTTGTTCAATTAATTTAAATTGAGTGAAGGTTTTAAATAATAGTTCTTGAAAGAAGGTTTACAAAATAATACAAATAATTTTTAAATGACAAGTAATGTGTTCTTGCATGAATAATTAATAAATTCAATTTTTATATCTATTCCATAAATTCATAAAAAAAAACTATCAAAAAACTACCTATCTGATGGATAGGTACTCAATCGAATAGGTTAGTAAGGATCTCACCTGCCAGGAGAACAAGTAAAACAGATAGTAGTTGGTGATGATGGCAAAGACGACGATGAACAGGATGAGGCAGGCGGAGATGGGCTTAAGCAGGCGGACCAGCAGCCTGGTGACCCGGGGCAGTCGCTTCTGGATGAGCAGTCCGACCAGGAGCGGCACAATCAGGCAGCCGCAGTAGGTGGCGATCTTCTGGTAGGGCACCTGCATGCCCACCCGCTCGAAGATCAGCTGGCCAAGCGTGAAGACCCACAGGGGCATGGTGGCGAAGGCGGCCACATTGCAGACCGTGGTCATCAGCACGGACAGGTGTATATTGCCGCCCAGCACGGCGCTCCAGGTGTTCGATGCCCCGCCGCTGGGCGAGATGCCGGTGAAGAAGAGACCCAGCTGCATGGCCGGTGCCTGGGGGAAGATGAACACCCCCAGGGCGTAGCTCAGCAGGGGCATGCCCACCACCTGCATCACGAATCCGATGCAGGGACCGGTAGGTCGGATGATCAGACCCCGCAGCACGTCCAGATTGAGGGCGGCTCCAAAATTGATGTACAGCAGCGACATCAGCAGTATGATGGAGCCGAGGAAGACGTGATCCACCACTCGATTCGGACGCAGGATCTTCACCTCCAGCGTGCTATCGTTGCTCCAATGGGTGGGCAGCTGACTGGTGTTCAACTGGGCGTCGTACAAACTCACTTGGATTTTGGTCTGGCCCAGGAAGTGGGCATTCACCGAGATGTTGCCCGTCCAATCGCGAGTTTCCGTGTTGAAGAGACTGAGGGGAATGGTGGCATTCTCGCCGGGAATACTGGCCAGATCCGTGTCCGCACTTTCCACGCGAAACTGGAACCGCTCCGGTTGCTGCAGCGTGGCAGGTGCCAGGTTTTCCAGGGTCAGTTGCACCCGATCCCCCCGCTCCATGTGCAGCTTCAGCGCAGCTGGTCGAAAGTGGGCCATCCATCCGAATGTGGGTGCAAGGCCTAATCCCGGGGCGAGCAGCAGGAGGAGCCATCCGGAACCAAGACATCTCTGCGGCGACATATTCTCCGCCTGCGGGTGATGGTGATGTAACTTGCCAACCGGAATGGGGAATGTTTTGATTTAACTTCACCCCTTTCGTACGCAACAAGTGTGCCAAGCGGAATAAACGTGAATTCACACCGAACGCCGTTTACAATTGCAATTGCAGGCGGGAGCGAGATGGCTGTATGCGCTAGTCGCAATACACAGAGCATGGGAGAGAGTGAGATGGACTACCAGCTGGGTAACCGGCCGCAATCAACGGGATCTGTGTGAGAAGGTCAGGCTATCTCTAATCCCCAATACCCTACAGCGACTACAGCGGTGGTGGTGGGGGCGAGGGAGATAACGATAAACACTTCACGCAGATGTGCGAGAGGGATCGTGGGCATGGGTGCGATTTTCACAAGGGGGGTAGGCCCAAAGGGGGGTTTTACAGGTTTTATGACACATAAAACAAAGTGTATTTATGAACAACATTTTAAACATTAAAGAAGCATCCTTATAAATTCCGTTTTTATAAGATGTTCGAGTTTGGATAGTTTGATTAATCTGTGAGCCACTGCATATTTTTACCAAGTCAGTAAACAGATAAGTTTAAGATATCAAAACTCCTTCCCTGTACGCCACTGAACAAATCCGTCTCAAGTGATAATTTTTTTATGAATAGTTAAAGATAACTTTTTGATCCATGTTTCCCTAAATAAAACCATATTATAAAGTTATCATCGCGCACTATTTGCTTATGCAAATGTCGTTTTGATGTTTTTAGCAACTTAAAATAGGTTCGTCTAGAGATTTCTGATTGCTCTTGATTTTAATAATTAAAAAACAAAAAAATTGTTGAGTCACAGTTGTTTTTAATTTGTAATTGCTTAATCTGATTGCTTTTAAAAAATCGTATGTTTTTAATAAAACGTGTTTCGAATTAAAAACACACTTGGGACTTTTATCGGATTTCTAATTTCTTAGATAATTCTTGAATTTTCAATTTATTTTTTTTACCTGCTATAAAGAATCTTTCAGATTTGTAAGTTAACTCAAAGACTTAAATGCTAGAAACTGGAAGGAAACAATACTATGTAATATCTATTGGCGATATCAATCCACCAAACAAATGTACACCATATTTTGGAGTGTAGAGAAACACATTGGAGCAATTGTTGGGTTTTCTCTCGCTGAGAGTACGTGAGATGGGATTTTATTGGAGCTTAGGTGAACAGTGAAATGCGCAAACAATAGATAACTAGTGGGTCCGTCGTCTCCGGCGCCGCGGCCCGATTCACACTCGAAATCGGGTGCGGAACCGGTTGCCGGATCGGGTGCTCAGTACCGGTAGTGGTCGGGCTTGAAAGGACCGGTCTGCGCGACGCCCAGGTAGCTGGCCTGCTTGTCCGACAGCTTGGTGAGCTTAACACCCAGCTTCTCCAGATGCAGACTGGCCACCTCCTCGTCGAGGATCTTGGGCAGGACGTGCACGCCCACGGCGTACTGGTCGGACTTGGTCCACAGCTCGATCTGGGCGAGCACCTGGTTGGTGAAGGAGTTGGACATCACGAAGCTGGGATGGCCGTGGGCACAGCCCAAATTCACCAGACGACCCTCGGCCAGCAGGATGATGTGCTTGCCGTTCTTCATCGTGTACCGGTCCACTTGTGGCTTCACGTTCACCTTCTCCTTGGCATTCGCATTCAGCCAGTCCACATCGATCTCGATGTCGAAGTGGCCAATGTTGCAGACGATGGCATCGTCGGGCATCTGGAGCAGGTGCTCGCTGGTGATGATGTCCCGGCAGCCGGTGGTGGTCACGAAGATCGAGGCCTCCTTGCTGGCCTCCTCCATGGTGGTCACCTCGTAGCCCTCCATCGCCGCCTGCAAAGCGTTGATCGGATCGATCTCGGTGACAATCACCCGGCCACCGAATCCCTTCAGCGCCTGGGCGCAGCCCTTGCCCACATCGCCGTATCCGGCCACGCAGCACACCTTGCCAGCGATCATCACGTCCGTGGCCCGCTTGATGCCATCGATCAGCGACTCCCGGCAGCCGTACAGATTGTCGAACTTGCTCTTGGTAACCGAGTCGTTGACATTGATGGCCGGAATGCCCAGGCGCCCTTCCTTGAACATCTTATACAGGTTGTGGACGCCGGTGGTCGTCTCCTCGCTCAGCCCCTTGATGTTCTTCAGGTATTCGGGGAACTTCTCGTGCACCAGGTTGGTCAGATCGCCGCCATCGTCCAGGATCATGTTCAGTGGCTGGCCGTCGGGAAAGACCAGGGTCTGCTCAATGCACCACATGTACTCCTCGTCCGTCTCCCCCTTCCAGGCGTACACAGGGACTCCGGTGGCAGCGATGGCCGCCGCAGCATTGTCCTGGGTGCTGAAGATGTTGCAGCTGGACCATTGGACCTGGATAGATAAATGCAAATATGTTCTATGATAACGGGCAAGCTTTTTCCATTTGATTATTTTTCATAGGAGTTTCCAATAAGTATTTAAAAACCCCAAAACTGTTACTATAGTAGAACTAAAACTTTCTAAATTGTAATCATAGTAAAATTAAATTAAGAAATATTTTATGTTTTAAGTAATGTTCTTTTAAAAGTATTACTATATATTGCAAGTATTAAGAACTTGATCGGTATTCATAGGAACTCAGATTTTCCTCGACTGAAATTTGTAATACATTGTATTGTAAACATAATATAATAATTTAGCTTGAAAAGGGATTTGAATATCCCAAATGTGTTCATCCTGATCAAAGAAAACCTTCTAAATTGTAAAAGAAATAAAGCAAAATTCCATTTAATGAGCTGATGTTCCAGCTGCTACTATTTAAAAAGGTTACAGGTTATATGGGGCATATGGTTCATAAATAGTTGCCATGTATGAGGGATCAAAAAACAAAACGTGCCGCGTCAGAGGAAATAACAATCTGTTTGTCTTATCTTGGGCGCCTTGAACTTACCCCCCTGTTAAACGAAAGTTTTGTTATTCAAATTGGTGCGTAAACAGAAGACGATAAGGGACCAGCCCTAGTGAACAATGATTGGAGGTACCTATCATTCCACCTATCTCCTGCATAAATAATAAGTGACCTTACGAACTCACTAAGCTAAATTGTTTAAATGTACAATTACTAGAATTTTTGTCATTTTTGTACATTAGCAAAATGTATTTTAATTTCTGAACACTAATATAGAGTGATCTAGTTGTTAATCTATCTGAAAGGTATATTATACCTTTTTTTAGTAAAGGGAAATATGAATCCTAATTTTTTCTCCATAGTTTTGGGCATGCTATCTTACAAATTGTGTTTTAATTTTTGAAATCTTATAAATAGTGATCTAGTGATTAGTCTAACTAACAGGTGCATATCCTTTTTTGTACAATTTTAGAACTCTGGTAAAGGGAAATATGAATGCTAATCTTTTGTTCCTAGTTTTGGACATGCTTTGAAGCATATATTTTGAATGAGATATTGGAAGGCAGATAACCCACCTGAGCGCCCAGTTCGACGAGGGTCTCGATGAGCACGGCCGTCTGGACGGTCATGTGCAGGCAACCGGTGATGCGGGCACCCTTGAGGATCTTGGAGGGTCCGTACTTCTTCCGGCAGGCCATCAGACCGGGCATCTCGTTCTCCGCGATGATGATCGCCTTGCGTCCCCATTCCGCCAGGCTGATATCGGCTGCGGGGCGGGAAAACAGAGGGAGATAGGGTCAGATAAGCGCCCACTCTTGACTTATATACCTTTCGGCTCCGGTTCTCTGGCACGGCAACAACGTGCTCTCCGCTTTTTTTTTTTTGGCCCCAGTTTAACCTCAGAAACATGTGCTCATGGATCCACCACCACACATGTAGCCTGTTGCCGGCCGGCCGGAGATTCGGAGTTGCTCCCTCGGGTTTATTTATAACTCACCGACTTTGTAGCTGGGCTTCGACATTCTTGCAAGGATTGGGATCTGAACTTGGACGCGGAGCAGACAGAAGCGAGCACAACCGAATGGGATTGGAGGCGCAGAGGTGAATGAGTGCCAGCCAAAACACAAGATTTTAACTGGTAACGAATGGCGGGTAGAGGGACATCTAGAGAAGCATCGATGTTATCGATGTTATCGATGTTTTCAAAACATCGGTTATATCGATGTTTGGCGGGGACTAGGGCTGGCAAAAACATTGACCCGATATTAATTTCAATTTAAGCAGTGAGAAATGTTTATATGTATATTGATAAACATCCTCAGAATTCAAGCAAGAGAAATATTTTTATATTCGTCACCACACAATATATATATCATATTAATAAAAAATTGTCAGTTGTCAGTTTTGAAATTTTATTTTCTGTAAATTCCACTTCTGCGGATTACATTTTGTATAAATATTGTTTATATATGATTACGAAGAACTAGGTCAAAGCTTGCGACAAGACCGATATTGTGAATTAAGGTTTTAAAAATATCGGTTACAAATAATCCGAATCAAATTCAATTGTGTACAAGTTAGAACTTGATTAGATTCAATATGTCGCTGGTTTTTCCAGCAAACAATATTTAAATTTCGACCCTTTGCATATATTTTATAAATAGAAGAAACAAGACTTTTGACGATAGTTGAACTTCCGACAGTTATACTTTACCAATATCTTGCGGGCACCTACGGATTTCGTCGCACGGCCACACTGCACTTGTTTCGTTCGGCCACACTGGCGGCCAAAAGAAGAGTCATAGGGAAAATATACACAGAAAAAAGTAAAGTGCGACTGAGTGCGTTTTCCTGGTCATCGAACAGCCAAAGTCGAACCCCAAAGTAGCACCCATGTCCGGCTCCGGTCTCGACGAGAATCCCTTCGGGGAGCCCAACCTGGACAATCCGTTTGCGGTGAGGCGACAAAAGAGCGGAAGCCGATGAAAAAAATCCAGCACACACACACACGTACGCAAGGGTGGGGGTGTCCGTGTGCATATGCCTATGTGTGCGCGTGTGTGTGTGTGTGTGTTGGGTGCATTCGTCACATATGTTGAATGAATTGGTTTCTGATCGGAATTTCTCCGCAGGATCCCGCCATCCAGCAGGCACGAACGTTTCGGGGCGGCGCCGCCCCTCGTCTCGCTGGAGGATTACAACCCCTTCGAGGAGCAGGCCAAGCCGCAGCTGCAAATCAACTCGACCAATACGGCGGCGGTGGTCCAGCCGCTGTCGCAGAACATTCCGCCCCCGCAGACCAGTTCGCTGGGCGCCTCGGCGCCGAGCACCAGCATACAGATCACCTCGGAGGAGTTGCAGGTAACCCACTTGGCCCACTTGGCCAGCTCGCGTTACCGCCCGCCCACCACTGGTACAGTGAGCACTCGTCGGGCTGCCGGCAGATAAAGACCACATCATCATATCTCACTGCCCATTGTGTTGGCACAGTGAACACCGGTCGCAGTGCCGGATTATACCATATGCACACATCACATCTCACTGTCCGTAAAAAACACTGAGATAACCAGGCTTATCTAGCCTTGCACACGACAAATCTGCTTTCGAGCATTTATCTAGCCAGAGCACAGGGGGACTGTCGCGCTCAGTCTTCACTGTACAAATCTGCGGTTTCTCTTGATTTACTTGGCTTCACATAAGCCCTACACATAAATACAAGAAATACGAGTAGTTAGACCTACAAAAAACACGATTCGGCAGTTTGAGTTTTTACATCTCGTATATGCATTAAAGGCCTAGAATCGGGGCCTTTAACAATATGGTAGCAGAAGAAAATAATGTTTCATGCTACACATAAGTTTTTAAGACTGAATTTTAGACAAAACATTATTTAAAGTTTTAAATTTACAATATTTCTCAAATTATTTTTAGGCTCAGATTCGAACATCACAAGAGCTATTCTAAATTAACTTTAATGGAATATCAATTGGAATTTAGTTTTAATAGGACAGACATTTTTTTAAGACATATTTTATTGCACTTATTTATGAATTGAAATATAGTGACCTCATTTAAATTTGTGAAATCATAAAAAAATATTTTCTACCAATTCAATTGTTGAGTATATTTATTTGTAACTGAAGCAGTCATAGTTTTCAAGAGTTTAATGGATTAACAAACTGTAATTTAATTTTTTTTTAAATTTAACTGCAGCTTTAATAAGAAAAGATGATTAAATCCGTTGATAATTCAATAATTTTTATGACATCTAGCGCCGGCAGGAGGAACTGGACCGCAAGGCCGCCGAGCTGGACCGCCGCGAGCAGCAGCTGCAGGGGGGCAACGTGCCCCAGCTTAACAACTGGCCACCGCTGCCGGACAACTTCTGTGTGAAGCCGTGCTTCTACCAGGACTTCGAGGTGGAGATACCGCCAGAGTTCCAGAAACTGGTCAAGCGATTGTACTACATTTGGATCTGTGAGTATCGGTGTTTTATGGTTATATTTTCTATATAATTTTACGCTGATAAGCGGGGCCAGAGGTTGGGATTACTCATCGCGTGTTGTTCATGGCCTGGTGTTTTGATTAATTAGATCTGAGGCTATGGCTAATAGTCCTGAAGGTTTGCGTGGTTTTGCGCAGAATTTACGGCTAAAAGGGGGAATAAAACGTGCAAACGACCCTTATTAAATATGTCTGATTAACATTTTTAAACTCTTTAATAATTTACTCAAAAATTAAAACTTTCGTTGTAATGTGCTTAAATCTTAATCACTTTTTAAATGGTATAAATGCCCTGAAGAGTAAGAGTATTTTACTATTTAACTATTTGTTGTGGAGATACCAAAAATTACAATTTGTAGGCGTATACACAAAACAGCCTTCACAAATTTTTGTAGTTTGGCACACTTGTTTACGAATTTCTTTCAATAAATAATTTATAATTTTACTTATGGATTGTACACCTTATGTACAATTGCCATAGTCATTTAATTATTTTGAAATTGAAAGAATGGCCATCAGTAAATAGAGTTTTATTTTGGCTGACAGTTTACACCATGACGTTGTTGGCCAACGTGATCGGAGGTCTAATATTGCTGTTCCATGCTGGCGATTTCGAAACCTTCTTCCTGGCTATCTTCTACACGATGCTCTTCTCACCCGCCTCGTATGTTTGCTGGTTAGTACAACGAATAATTAACCCAATAATGTGACACATTATTTAACTGATTTCTGCTTCCCGCACAGGTTCCGACCGGCGTACAAGGCATTCCGCAACGATTCAAGCTTCAACTTCATGGTCTTCTTTTTCATCTACTTCTTTCAAACGTTGTACTCGATTGTGCAGACGGTGGGCTTCAACAAGATGGGCTACTGCGGCTTCATCACGGCCATCGGGCAGTTCGATGGCCTTGCGTCGGGCATTATCGTCGGCATTCTGCTGCTGTGCGTGTCCTTCTGTTTCGCCGCGGTGGCCGTGGCCAATGTGCTGATGATCACCAAGATTCACTCCATCTACCGCAGCACAGGGGCCAGCATGGCCAAGGCCCAGGCGGAGTTCACCACCGAGTTTCTGCGCAACCAGCATGTTCAGGAGGCGGCCTCCTCGGCCGTCAACACGGCCATCAACTCGCAGTTCAACAACAGCAGGTACTAAGGAGACAGTCCCTCCCGAGGACCTGATCAAATCAAAAGGAGAATCAATCAATCAACCACGAACTCAAGCACTCATCCGGCTAAACTTGGACAAAAAGAGATGGGTAACCGCGCCAGAGAGAGGGAGATAGACATGGAAATGGGACATTAAATAAACATTGAATTAGCTTGAAAATAAAAGCAAAGCAAAGCAAAAGCCGAAACTAAAGCAAGCATTGGAGCATGGAACTAATAACTATTTGCTTTTGTGCATAAACAATTCCTAGAATGCCGTCGTCTTTATTACAAATAATTACTGTAATGATAACACACAAAAACACAAAAACAATGCATTAACAATATTTATAAACAGACAGATACTGAACTTAGAACTTAAACTAAAACTGAAACTAAACAAAAAAAAAGAAAAGAAGAGTAAAAAAATGAGAACTAAAACGGCCCCCGATGCCTTCGACACACAGCTGCAGCGGATTGGAAGACAGGACATCTGAATCGTGTGAATTACATGCCTCCAAATACAATATTTAGAGTAAATTATTGTGTGTGTGTCCTGTGAAATGATTGGATTCCGAAATAACCCTAGAGAATCCAGACGAAAGGGATGAGTCTGATGATGCTGCTGCTGATGATGATGTTTTCTAGTTCTTTAAGTCATAAAAACGATATAGTAATATCCCCCACTCCCAAACACACGCAACACACACATACATATATACGATCTTACATATATATATATATATATATATATATATATATATATATACACAAACATAGTATAAATAATATATTTAACGCTTACATTATAGAACTTTATCTCTTGTCGCCTTGGCCCGAGACAACAAGAAAGCGAAATTCATTTATCATTCAAGCTGTGGTTCTTCACCCCTCTCTCCCTTCACACTGACACGCCCCTGCCCCGCCCCCTTCCCTGTCTCTGTCCCGCACTCACATGAAATGTCGTGTTTTTTTGTAATCGTAATTGTTATATATTATCTATGTACATGAAGACAGCATATAAAATATTGATTCACTTAAGTATTCACATTTTTAGATACATTTTTTTCGTTTCCGTTTGCTTGCAAATTAAAGTTATGTTACGTCCTATTTAAAGCTAAATTGAAAATGGACAATGATGATCTATGGATGTGTATTTGAAATTCAAGCAAAATTTATGATAAATTCAAAAATAAATATAAAATACTTATAGATGTAAAAGAAGTATTGGTTTGTTTTATTATTCGAAAAAAATGGGACTGGAAATCGATTTTTAGTCATTTTAAACAACTTATCAAAGTTTTCGAATAATTGTTTAAACAAATCGAGTTCTTAATAGCACATGATAGATAGCTCTGAAAGGTAAAATAATTTATCTGTGCTGGTGACCCCGATATATTTATTATAGATATATTATTTTTTTTAGAGGTGAACCAGAGATGAACTTCTCAGGCCATAATTTGCGAACTATAAAAAGTAAACTTATTTTATTTTTTAGGACAAATGATATTTTAAGCAGATAACAGAACTTAATTAACTAAGAAGCAAAAATTGTTAAGTTCTATAATCTGACTGTATTTAAGCTTACCGGCCAATAATTTTAACTATTAAATGTATCAAATGCTAAAGATATTTAATACCCTTAGATATTACAAAGGACCTTTGGTCGTAAGAAAATATTTGAGGTAAATTTGAAAGGAAAATACGATAATAAACTCTAAAGGGGACAAATTTACGTAGGCTTGTAATTAAGACGTTTGAGACGTTTGTCATCGCAAGATGAAAATTTCATTTGGTAAATGTTGAATTAAATCAACAACAGCAAATGGTCCTGTCCACACATTCGGACGCACACATTGCTCTCAAATATTTGTGCTAGACAGATACAGATATATAAAGGAATATACAGATGTACTTACAAACATTTGTAGATATGTATATAGTATAGATATATATATATATATATATGTAGATATATGTATGTAAAAGTGTCGTCCTCTTAGTTTGGGCTAAATTTGCGCATACGCCACGTTGAGGGAATATTTGCAACGATTTGTTTGCCATTTTGCTGGCAATCGAGAGAGCCGCAGAGCAGTCCATGGACTATGGAATGGAATCGTTGGGCAATCGGAAGGGGAACCTTTCTGTGGGGCACAAAAAGCGAGAATGATGAGCAAATATGCTCGAAAGTGCTGCAGATGCAGATGTACCTAGATGCACTACTGCCATCGTTAGTGGCAAATCCCTTTTGGCGCACTTCAGTCAAAAGCCTGCATCACTCACGTGTTGCAGCTGAATATCCACCTGGTTGACTGGTTGACTGGCTGACTGGCAAGGGTGTGGGCGTTTCTGGGCGAGATCGGGTTACAGGCTTTCAGTGTTTCAGGGCTTGGGCCGGACGCTAATTGCTGACAACGATTTACTATTGATTGCATTTTCACGCTGCTTGCGTGCCAAGAGCTCACGGAGCGAAGTCAAAGGACACGCTGTGACAAGGTAACCATATTGATTTTATGTCGCGCCAAGAATAACAAAGTAATGCCACGTAATGCAGCTGACTTTTCAGCCGAAAGTCAAAACTTTATCCCGTTAATAAGAGTCGGAGGTGCACTGAAAAATCCATCAAGGTAGGTAGGTCAACCATAACAAAATCTCAACTGTTGTTTTTGGCCTATGGTTTTATTTTAGTTATTATTATACGGCAAAATAAAGTAACCTATCTTAAGAAAATAAGTCCACAAAACTTCAATAAATGTAGTACTTATTATTTAAATAACATATTTTATGTTAGCTTGTATAGTTATATATATAAAGTATGTGATTATCTAAAGTCTTAAATATAATATATTTGTACTTAACCATTAAAACTTAAACGAGTATTGACATTTTAAAAGCATACAAAAAGGAAAGAAATTGAACATTTTTCACATTTTTAAACATTTTTTGTTTTTTCAAAATAGTCAAAACTTTTTTTAATACTACAATTTTGAATGGAGGATAAATTTTAACTTTTCTTGCTTAGATAATCTTTTATAATTATTAACCTTATTATAAGTTAAGGACGTATGACACCCTAATATATATGAATTAAAAAAAGTGTTACTTTTTTATATGAATAGTCTTTTTAATTTGACCTATTTAAATTATAATTTGTAAAAATTACGTACATTTCTCCTGATACATTAATAGAACTAACTTTGTGTGTCTTTTGTTATAGTTTTGTATAACCCATCTTAACACTTCACTTGTAAAGTAAACACACGCATTTTTCCTGTGTCATTTTCCACTCGAGTGATAAACGCCTTCCGCTCGCTTGTCAGTCGCCAGCTTAGAAATCACTTAAATAATATTTTCCTCGCCCGCCGGCAGCTAATCGTTGGCCCTGCAGGCGGTCCTACGACAAATTAGGCAGCCACTGTGTGTGTGTGGGGGTGATTCCTATTCCTATTCCCATTTCTATTCCTATTTCTACGGCGGACAGGAGCAAATGGCAATGGCATTTGCCAAAGTCGGGGCCAATTTTTCACACTATACGGAAGTATTATTTGGGTCACATTTCCTGCTGCTTTTAATTAAAATCTTCCACTGGCGGAAGTACAAATTTCTTGATGTTACAAAGCGCTGAAAATGCTCCATGGGCGTGGGTGGTGAGGGGGGATGGGGGGATGCAGATAGTGGGGTTGACTGGCTTAGTGACTTGGTCAGAGCTAAGTCGCAGCCGAAGGCGTTTGTCGACCCGACAGCCCGAACTTTATCCCGACACCGACGACGACCCGAGTCCACAAAGTCTCACACAACCTATTGCCCTTCATAATGCCACAGGGGCGTGGGCCAAAAGGGGATCCAGTTTTTTTTTTTTTTTATTTCGGAGGCTTTTCAAGGGGGTTTGGCGGCCAGGCCAGATGATTTTAGCCGAGATTGAAGATAAAACACATGCGCTCATCACGTTTGCTGTTTGTGCCGTTTCTGTTTGTGCTCTCGTTTTGGCTCTGGTTGCTGCCTCTCGTCCTTAGCACCCCCCTACCCTACCCCCTCTCCCCTCCTCTGCCAGGACCCTCTCGCACACATACTTACACACAGGGACACCGCAAGGCCGCACTCATACAGACGCCGACACAAAGCGCCGCACATGGCACTTGGCGCTTCCTTCATCCCAACACATAGAAAAAATCTTTTTTCCAAAATATGTATGCAAAAAAATGTATTAAAGAACAAAAAAAAGGGGGAACTGGAACTTATAATTTAAAAATTTAACAAAAAATTTGTAACTGATACTTAAAAAAACCAGTCTAATAAATAAGTATTTCGATCAAATCAGAAAACTTGAAATAGCTGATAGTCGCAATATCTTTCTTTTCTTTTTTTCTTTTTAAATTAGAGTAAGTTATTTAACTTAATTGTAAGGTCCTTTTTTGTTTTTTTTTTTAATTTCTTACTAATTTTATTTACAGACAAATATATTTAAAGATTAAGTTAAGGTTCTGGCTGCGAATAATTGAATTTATTCACTTTCTTAATTTTTATTCAATTAAAATTTAATCGTATTTAATCAAGGAACATTATAAATAATGTCTTATGTGCTGTTATGGGATGTCAATCTATCATATATTATATTTATATATTTAGTTTGCTAACTTTCTTATTAATTATTAAAATAAATATTTTTTTCAGCACTTTTACTTTAGTTTTTTTGTGATATACAATTCCATAAATTAAAACTAATTGAATTGAATTTTAATTTGAAACCGAATATAATATCAATGCAATTTTTGGTTGGGAAAACAAATCAAGAACTAATATATTAAAAAATTGTTCTCAGTGCACTTTCTTTGTTTCTATCTCTTTTGCCGCCGCTGTTGTTTTTGTTGGAGCTGTGGTGTCTTCTGTTGGCTTTGTCCCCGCTGGGAAATGCGCATCGCCCCCGGCAGACAAATATTTTTTTATCTTTATTCAATTCAATTCCACCAGCGACCACTTCAGTTTTTCTTTGCCGTCCCCGAATATGATTCTCTTATTGTCTTAATTGGAAATCCGGACAAGTTTCATCTGACAAATGGAGCTGGGAGCTCCTTGCAACTTAAATATATGCAGGTGGGTGGAGTCCCAGAAGGCTTTACATTTTCCCGAGAATTTTCCACGCAACTATTTTAAGCAGAACTTCTTAGAAAGAATATATTTTCGGGAACACGGCTTTTTTTTTCTTAGTATTCCTTATTTTTGGCTAAATGATCTGGCCTAAATATACAATTTTATAAGTTTGTTAAAAATTATTGAAAATGTAAATAGCTTACATTTTTTTCATAAAGTTAATATAATAGCCGTTGAAAGAATGCCAAATGGTAAATAATTAAAGTATATAAGTAAATACATCTTTATGAATAAACGTTGTATATAATAATAGACATATAATACAAATATTTATTCTACATTTAATTTTTTATTTTATCGTCTTTTAATTGACTCAATTATGTAATACTACTTTTAAGGACCTTTATATCTATTTGTTTTTGTAAATCTATTAATTTCTGTTAACTAAACCGCTTATACACTCTTGCTTAAATTTAATTAAAATAAAAGACAGCGATAAATGCAAAAATATTCTCTTCAAATTATAATTGTG